CCTGCCTCTGCCTCCCAGGTGCTGGGATTAAAGGCGTGCACCACCACTGTCCAGCTTTTTTTATTTATTTTAAAACTTTTTAAGGTTTATTTAATTTATGTATATGAGTGTTTTGTCTGCATTTATGTATGTGCACCATGTACATGCCTGGTGCCCATGAAGATCAGAAGAGGGTATCAGAATCCCTGAAACAGGAGTTATAGTCAGTGATGAGCCAACATGTAGGTGTTGAGAACTGAACCTGGGTCCTCTATAAGAACAAGTGCTCTTAACCACTGAGCCATCTCTCTAACGCCTCCTTTTTGATAATTGTTACATTAATTAATCAATTAATTAGTTTATTTATTTCAAACCCAAGCTGGCCTTGAACTCACAATCCTTGTGTCTTGACCTACCCCCAATTTTGGAACCAAAGGTGTCATCATACATGCCCATCATAAATGTTTTGTTTTTAATGACAGTATACATTAACAGAAGACTGCTAAAGATTTAGACTTGCTTGATAAAAAGCACCTGAGAAGGAAGAGCAGCGAAAACAAGAAGGCAGAAGCACACACACCCCTGAGGCATTAGAGCTTCATGTCTCTTCACCTGGGGAACTTCCATACTGATTTGGCTAAGCACACTTTTAGAAATCAGAAAATGATGAGGCCATCAAAGCGGCTGGTTACTCTCTGCAGTGCTGAATCATTTCCTGGTTTGGCTGCCGATCTCGGATGAGTCAGTATAACTGAGAGCACCCAATGTGCAACTTAACTCATTCACACCTACCAAACGGTCTCAAATGCACAAGAGCATGACTTCAAGCAATGTGGGCAATGTTAGCCACCAGTAATGTTTGTGGCGTTGATGATGGAAGATTCCTTAGGGATCAAGACTGAAGCAAACAGCTCAAGTGAGGAGAACCAACGAAAACACCTTTGAAACTGCAACACGGATCATGTAGGTATCTTTAGTTTAGACACTGCATTGTCACACACAGAACCCAGGTCTGAGGATCTGAAGACTCAAATTCAAGATGCAATCCTGTTACCAATGTATAGTGACCTCAGTCATTCATCCATATAGTGACCCACAGGCCTGTGCAGATCTAAACTGTGGTGTCCTTTACATAACCACTCTGCTCATCTGTAGTATGAGACAAAAACTGTACTTCATCCCTTTAAAATACTGCTTTCTTCCTATGAAGATTCCCTTGTATAGTGCAGCAGTGGGGGAGGGGTGCCACTACATTGGCTTTTACCACAAATTGCCATTTTCCACCGGGTCACTGGGCAGAATTCGCACTGAAGCTGTCGTCCTGCATACCATCGTCCATTAAAAAGAGAAAAAGCTGCTTGACAGTCTTCTTCCCTTGGAAGCAAAAATCAAAGGTTGTGCTTTTAACTCTCACAGGTAGAGCAAATCTATTCTGAATTAACCCTCTTGTCCATTTACTGTAGGACTACCAAGTCCAGTTCTTGAATTGCCTAGGAAGTCTTCGGAGTATTCAGGTTCCCACAGGCTAGTTTATTCAAAGACCTTGTCATGAACCCTCTGAAAGGTTTTGTCATAGGGAAATTGGCTGGAGTCAAAGCTTCTTAATCTGCAAGATTGGACCACTAAATCTGCAGAGGTGTGTTTCCCCTTGTTAGAACCCATGCTTTCTCAGCTAGGACTCCTATTGTTCTTATTACAATGGCTAATTGAAGCCATTAGCCATGACACCACTTAGAGAAATGGCAATACATGCAGAAATGATACAGGAACTACATAGCTAGCTGGTCAAATGCACACTATTTGGAACTTTAACCCCTTGTACCTTGGATAGGTATTTTCTACTCTATTCTAATTAGGACTTTTTGGTTGTATGATATATTATTTTCAAATCTTGCTGTTTCTCCATGAGCTCTTCATATTGACATTTTGAAAAGTCTCATGCATAGGAAAGCTCCATATTCAGTGACATCAAAGAAACACAATACCGTAACTATGATGAAACATGAAGATGCATGGATGTTCACAATACTTACGACTGGTACTGAACATACACATTGCCCCTCAGATGCGGTTCCAAGTTGCAGCTGACCTAAGGAACAAAGAAGAATGCTGTCACTAAAAGAAAAAAAAGGGTTTTCAAAAGAAGCCAATCATCAAATGCATTTTGTCCAGGCTAATAGTCCCTCAAAGAGTCCACGATAAGCTAGCACACTTTCTTATCAAGTCAAGGCATAGCTAAGCACCTATCACCATTGCAGACTTCAACTGCACAATCTCTGTTGATCCTTGTCTGCCATTTTTAAACCCTAAATGTATGAAGTGCTTCATAGCTATATAAAAACAAAATACAGGGGTTGGAGAGATGGCTCAGCAGTTAAGAGCACTTGTTAAATGAGGGTCAGGGTGTTTCTGTTTGGAATATAAATGTATGTGTGTAGACGGACACATGTACTTATATAGGACACATGTACTTATAAAGGTATACATACATTATGTATGTGGCAGAAAATAAAATATCATATACATAAATATATACTAACCAAAATGGTATTTATAATAATTATGTATATTTATATTGATTCAGGTGTGTCCAAAACAACCTTCTGTGAGCCACAGGTTAATAGTTATGAATGTGGCTCAACACAAAAATCACAAAGTTAATTAAAACATTTTGTTTTGTAACCTCGATTGCAGTTCTCAGGCATGAACTCTGTAAATGACATTATATCACAATGTCAAAAGTCTGGACACACTTGCTGGTGGTATTGCTTTGTACCCTTAAAATTTGTAAACTTTTTTTTGAGACAGGGTCTCTCTCTATAATCCTGGCTGTTATGAAACTCACTATGTAGACTAGGCTGGTCTCAAACTCACAGAGATCTGCTTGCCTCTGCCTCTCAAGTGCTGGTATTAAAGAAGAGCTTCACCATGCCTGGCTAAAATTTTTATATAGATGGTATTCTTTATTCTTTTTCAAGATGTTAATACAAGCTTAATGGCTCAACTACTGTATACTAGACATCAAATCATCACACTGATGTATCTGCTCATGACAATCTACAGTGCTTCCAATCTCCTATTCACAAGCTATCTCTGTAAGAACCTTTTAGTCTTCGTAAACAGGAGCATGCTGACTTATAGCTCTCCACTTCATTAGGCATGCACAAGCTGCTCTCAGAAGTAACTGTACTAATGCATATCTTCTGCCCAATCTTGAAATTAACAGAATTTATACCATGTAGATGTAAATAATGTCTTATTTTCATGTGTTGTTCCTACTACTATAAGTAGGGCTAAACAATTGATTGTTGCCTTCAAAAAGGATAAATTTGATTTATAAAAGACAAAAAAGATCTTTAAATATTCCTACTATGCCAGGGGGTGGTATACACCTTTAATCCCAGCACTCAGGAGGCACTAGCAGGTGGTTCTCTGTGAGTTCAAGGCCAGACTGGTCTACAGACCTACTTCAATGACAGCCAAAACTACACAAAGAAACCCTGTTTTGAAAAACCAAGAAAAAATATTACTGCTAATGTTTAGCTTTACTTTAAGTTATTAAAACATCCAAGGGGGTACAGGATCCTACTCTATAATACCATCTTTAGAAAGAAGAATAAAGGGCCTTAGGAGTTCATGTCAACCATGCCTAGGGACCTTAAAGTGCATTTAATCTAGTCAGGCTTGGTGGCACATGCCTAAAATCCCAGTAATAGGGAGGCGGAGGCAGGAGGACTACTACAAGTTCTAGGCCAGCCTGAGCTGAAAAAATAAAAAGTGGTACAGCACTTTTGCCCAGCATGTACAAGGCCCTAGGTTCAATCCTCAGAACCACATAATGACAACAATATTAATAGTTTAGTCCCATGGTTCCCAAAGTCCTACTGATTTTCCATAACGAATTCCATGTTGTGATCATTTCTGTACCACAAATTTACTAAATAGCTTTCTTTTCATTTGTAACTGTCAATGTGGTTAGTATAAACCCTGTCATCCTGTTTGCTTTCTAGAAAAAAAAAAACTGTGGTGAGTAGATGCAGCCTGCTACACGTGATAATGCAATTTCCACTAACCTCCCTGAAACCCACCAGACCTACCCCACTGGGCTGGGGACAGAACCCAGAGCCTTGTTCATGCTAGGTAAGCACTCTATGACTGAGCTACCGATCTGAAGTGCTGAAAACACTTTATCAGTACCACTTCACAGAAGCAGTAGGATCCAGGGGCCCTATGAGGGAAGCCACGAATGTAAGCCAATCTCACTGTTGAGATAAGGAAGAGGCACACAGAGAGAAAGGGACATCTGAAGAGCAGACACAGTGCCTCCTTGCCTGGGGCTTGCTGCCATGTGGAACAATGCAGACATGACCACATACTTCCACTTTACCGTTTCCTCTTAGAGGAAGAAGGAAAGCATATGCCACAGAAATAAAGTTTGGAGAAAAATTTTAATTTGTTCTACACTTCATTTGTATGTGCATGCCATGTTCACGTCACAGTGTGAATGTGCAGGTCAACTTTGCAAGAGTCAGTTCTTTCCTAACACCATGTGGGTCTTAGAGATTGTGTTTGGGTTGTCAGGTTGGTGGCAAGTGCCTTTATTCACTGAGTCATCTTGCCAGCCCAAAAGGAAAAGATTTTTATTTCTTTTATAATTTAAATTTTATTTTTTTTTAAAAAGCCTACTCCCTTCCCCCATTTAATCCCCATATTCTAGTTTCCCTTTTATCTCTTTATAACACTATGTTCTAGTTCTCCTTCTTTGGAAAACAAATTTTAAAGAATATATTTTAAATCTGGAAAGCTGTGGCGATATATTATTTATGATTTATTAAAGCTTGCCTGAGGGTACAGAAAGCAAAGCCAGTCACAAGCCATAGAGCCAGGCAATGCTGATAAACACCTTTGACCCCAGCACTAGGGAGGTAGAGACAGGAGTGATATGGCTGGGTGGAGAGAGGAATATAAGGGGGAGGAGATAGAATCTCAGAGGATAGCAGTGTGTGGTTTGGTGAAGAACATTGCACTCTGAGGATTCGTGGAGACAGCATCATCCATTTTGGTCTGAGGCAGAGTTAATGGCCAAATGCTTTGCTTCTCTTACCATCAGGCAAGCTTTAATAAATCATAAATAATGTATCACCACAGAAAGCAAATATAATCTCAGATTTCTTATATCTATGGTGCTTGATTATTCCAACTCTATAATTTCATTTCTGACAGCAAGAAAAAAAAACCCTACAACTTTATTCCTACTTTTCTCCAAAATCAGAGACATTTCCCTTGTCCTCATATAACAATGTCATTCCAATTCAGATGTGATCAAATCACAGACATGCAAGAGGCCTACGTATTGGGATTCACCCAATGAGTCCCAGAAACAGCAGTGGCCACATCTTACCTTACTTAGTGAGTGAAATTGAATGCCAGTATATATAACATTGTTCTGGGTGAGGCACTGAAAGTGAGAAGGACAGGAACCATGTCCATCACAGACAGCAGCTAAGTGAAGGCTTAGATGGCTAGATACAGTAGGCCTGACAATGAAGTCAACTGCTGGAAACAGTTGCAGCACAAAGGCACTGAATAAGGGTCCTTACCAACCCAGGCCCTAGCATTCCAAATTGATTTCCTATGGTATCTACATGGCATTGGCCAGAGTGGAGGTAGAAGGGAAGAGAACTGAGTGACGTTTACCAAGTGCTGGCATGCTCAGCCCCAGACCAGGCATATACTGGCACATGACTCCACCCAGGTGAACAGGCTAAGTCCTAGCTCTGCCCCTGTATCCTGTATTTCAGGGAAAGGTGTGTCTGACCCCTTCCCAGGCTCTGCGCACCTTAAACTGAACCACTTTTCCCACGTTCTTGAACTCTGGCAGTACATCGTGATAGAAGTCTAGGAACTGCTGATAGGTCTCTTCTTCACTGTATTCCAGGCTTGAATCAGGGTCATAGTCATCCCTCCTGCATTGCTCCATTCCAAACGTGGTAAACATGCTCTTAATAAGCAAGGTGGGACTTGATGTGGGGAAGTTATGTTTACGTGAACACCTGAAGGAAGCAAGCAAATTCATTTGTCCAAGAACTAAAAATCTCACATGAAAAGCTCACCATGAACTCCGGGATCAAGAATCAAGTAATGTGGTTGTTTAAACTTAATGAACACTGCTTGGGTGCCCAGTTATAGTACACAAGAAAACTGTCTTACACTTGACCTGTTCTCATTAAAATACAAAAGTGGGAATGGTTTGCAAGGTCATATGCCATTCAGGAGCCTTTGAATATATTCAGAAAGATTTCTCCATGTTGAACCACAGGGAAAGAAGGCCCAATAGTGTGACCGATTGCAGTGACAGCAGTAAGAGGCTGCATTGGAGACTCAAGAAGGTGAGAATTGGCAATTTTGATTGTACACAATTTTCAAATGATTTACATGCTTAGGGAATACAGTAACGGTGACCCAGTGAGACGGCCCAGTGGGTAAAAGCATTTGCTGCATAAGCTTGGTGATCTGGATTTCATCTCTGGATCTACATATTCTTTCCTCCCCTTCCCTTTCTCCCTGTTACACACACACACAAAATAATAATAACATTTTTTAAGATGAGTATGGTAGTGAACACTTTTTATCCCAACACTCATGAAGCAGTTCCAGGCCAACCTGTTCTACATAGCAAGTGCCATACCAGCCAGTGTTCCAAGGTGAGACAGAGTCTCAAAAATAAATACATAAAATAATTTTAAAATTCATATCTTAAAGAGACAATAGGGTAATCTAAAATTTTCCATTTACTCAAGTATTGTCATTTTATCTACATATAGCATTTTAAAGTTTTCATGCTTTTTAAAATATTTTTCCACTCTGATCCTTAACAACCTGATGAGACACATGGTACTAGTATTTTCTTACTTTGCCAAGTGTGATGGTTCATATTAATTTTCAACTTGACCATCTAGAATCACCTGAGAAGGAATTCTAATGAGGGACTGTCTAGAGTAAAGTTATCCTCTGAGAATGTCGGTGAGGAATTGCCTTGATACTCTAATTGATTTGGGTAAACTCATCTTAATCATGGGTAGGACTATTCCCTGGTCAGGGTTCCTGAACTATATAAAATGGAGAGGTCAAACTGAGCCTAGGCATGCAAGCATTAAATCACTGCTCTCTGCTTTTGAGAGTGACAGTAATGTGTTTAGCTGCTTCAAGTTCCTCCCACCTTGGTTTCCCCACAATGATGGACTGTAACCTGGAATTGTGAGCCAAATAAACCCTTTCTCCCTTAAATTGCTGGGACAAGAGTCCAAAACACAAAGGCAGCTGAAACCTAAAGAAGCACAACTCCCCCCAAGTCATGTGACTGAGAAGAGCCTGACCCCTAGAGATCTGGGTTAATCTGGCATGTGGTCATTATAGAGTATAATAAATATAACCCCATTTTTAGTCACTGAAGGTACCTAATATCTGTGAAGAACCATTTCTTTTCATAGTTTAAAACAGGCCAAGGTTAAGCTGGCTAGGTTATTCCAGAGTAATTTTTTTAAAAATCATATATATGAGTTCACTTTCTTATTTACTCCTTTCTCCTGAAGTGCACTGATGGGAGGAGCCACACATTTCAAAGTCCTAAATATTTCCTTCTTAGGGTTCTAAATAAAAATCAGTAAGACAGGGCAGTGGTGGCACATGCCTTTAATCCCAGAACTTTGAAGGCAGCTGGTCTGTAGAATTCCAGGACAGCCAAGGCTACACAGAGAAACCCTGTCTCAAAAACCAAACAAAACAACAACAACAAAATCAGTAAGACAAACTTCGGGAAAGAAAGACTTAGGAAGAATGTTATAGAGTAGGGAATACTGCAAGGGACAGAGGGATATAATGTCCCTTGTCTGGACAGTGGCCATCCTGGTCTACATAGTGAGGTCTAGGCCACCCTGGACTAGACTAAGACCCTGTTTGCCTGAGAGGCAAAACAACAAAGTTGTAATTAAGGTGTTTCCATAGCCTAGCACCCAACTTTAGTCAGAGAAACTTCTTTTTGTAGTGGAAAGTAGTTAATAACTAGCCAAAGTGTTGAGAAAAATTGCCTGTTGAATGCTCATCTCTAAGCTGCTCCAAGGCCCGTGGAACATCAAAGGAGGAATGGAAAAATTATAATAGGTGGTGGATAGGATTGAATGTTGTGAAACACTGTTTCCTGGATGCAGCATGGCCACTACATTCACAAACTCAAAGCATCTATGATTCATGAACCCAAAGTAGCTATGGTTGCAAGTTGTGGTAGCTTGAATGAGAATGGACCCCGTAGGCTCATATGTTTATACATAGGGACTAGTTGGTAGACTGTTTAGGGAAGGATTAGGAGGTGTGGCCTTTTGGAGGAGGTATGTCACTCAGGATGGGCTTTCATGCTTCAAAAGCCCACACAAGGCCCAGCCTGTCTGTCTGTCTGTCTGTCTTCCCCTCACCCCTATGGCCCCTGGATTAGGATATAAAGCACTCAGCTACCATGCTGCCTACTTCCCACCATGATGATAATGGACTAACCCTTTGAAATTGTAAGCAAGCCCCCAATTAAATGCTTTCTTTTATAAGAGTTGTCTTGGCTTGGTCATGGTCTCTTCACAGCAATAGAACACTAAGACACAAGACCTGCATAAAATCAATCCCATCAACATTCTAGCATCAATAGGGGTGACATACTTAAGGCCTTGTCCCTAGCAGTCAACAGCTGCTAGAGATAAGGGACTTCCAGGACATAGCTACTGGTTAAGTTGCTAATGATTCAGTAAATAACCTTGCACATGCAAGCAACACTAATTATACTCAGTGGATTGTTTATAAAAAGAAAAGACATGAAAACAGAAGGAGGATGTATTGTGGAAAGAAGGGATCCAGAGGGAGTGGAAGCAGGATAAGATGGCAATGGAAGTGAACATGACCAAAATTCAGTATAGAAATGTATGAAACTGTCAAAGAATTTTTAAATAAAAACTATAACCAAAAGGTTTAACAAACAAAAGCAAACATCCAAAGAAATGCTTAGGTTAAGGAGTATTTTCTGCCTGGCATGGCATGGCATTTATATGCCTGTAACCCTAGCTACTCAGTTCATCCTGGATTATAGACTAAGACCTCATTTTTTAAAGGAAAGAAACAGAGGTGTTTCTCTGGCATCTGACAAACCGTAACAGAGATGATCCAGCATGTTATTTGGAGCAAGTGATCCAGCCTCTCCACAAAAGGGAAATAGAACAGTCTATTTGTCTGAAAGGACAATGTTGGCGTTCATAACCACTAATTCCACACAATTTTATGCAAACTAGTTACTTGAACAATGCAAACAGCCAAGTTGTTCACACACTTTGTTAGTTATGATGGTAAAGTCTCATATACCTATGACAATGATAAGAAATGGTCACAAGCCAAGCAGTGGTGGTTCAAGCCTTAATCCCAGCACTTGAGAGGCAGAGGCAGTCGGATCTCTGTGAGTTCGAAGTCAGCCTGATTGACAGAGTGAGTTCCAGGACAAGCTCCAAAGCTACAGAGAAACTCTGTCTTGAAACCATAAAAAAGAAATGGTCACAATCTAATTGTATTTATTTTTTGAATGACTGTCAGAGAGGGAATCTGACAGGCTACTCCATTTTCCACAAGGAATTATCTGTCCAGTGCTCATAAAACTACTTAATACACCCGTCCTCTCACAACCAACAGAAGGAGACTCCCGAATCTGGCTTCCACAGGTTTTAAATTTCAATGAAATTAGAGACACATCATAAATAAGAGCAGCTGGAAAACCTTAAAGGCAGCTTGGCTCAACTACCCGTGCAAATGTGAACTAAAACTGGGGCTCATTTATCACTGGAAGGCCATCTGTCCAACATCCTTCTTTAGTGGGAGGTGTTTTATACAGATCATTATTTATTTTGTGTGTGGTTGCACCCATGCCACAGCACAAGTGTGAAAGTCAGAGCACCACTAGTAGGAGTCAGTTACCTCCTTTCAGCATGTAGATCCAGGGATCAAATTCAGGTCACTAGACTTTGCAGCAGGCACCTTTACCCACTGAGCCATCTCACTGGCTCTTAAGCAGATCATGTTTTACTATTTCTTCTTGAGACGGAATTTTGTTTTAGGAAAAAATGTTGCTAAAGGTACCAAAGGAAGGTAGCCTCCTTCCCTCAGTTCCATAGTTCCTCAAAAGGAGCCTTTCTACTTCTTACCAGACTCTAAGTCCTTTCACAGATGATATTCTGGCCATCCACAATTCCAGCCATCAAATCCAATACCTGAAGGCATCTCAAAACTAGACTTACTTTAGCCTCTGAAATCTTGATTTACTCAATTTGAGGTGAGATTGATTTTGTTTAGCCTTTCTCCTTTTTACATGATTCTATTATGTATCCAGGGTTGAGAACTACTATTATCTTTTAATTTTTAAAAAGATTTTAATGGTATTTATGTGTACTTGTTGAGGGGGAAATGCCTGAATACAGACAGGTGCCTGCCAAGGTCAAAGAACAGTATCAGATCCCCTGAAGCTTGAGTCACCGTTCATCATGAGCTGCCTGGTGTGGGTGCTGGGAACTGAACTCAGGTCCTTGAAAAGAGCAAGTACATGCTTGTAACTGCCAAGCCATCCCTCCAGCCCAAAACTATTATTCTTGAAAAATAAAAAATAAGCTGGGCATGGTGGCACACAACTGTAATCTCAGCAGTTAGGAGGTGGTGGCAGGATGAGCAGTAATCCAAAGCCAATCTAGGCTACAAAGAGAGTTGAATGCCAGCCTGGGCTCCCTGAGACTGTCTCAAGAAACCAAATGATTATCAGGTGTGATGGCACACACCTTTAATCTCAGCATTCAGAAGGCAGAGGGAGATGGATCTCTATGAGTTCCAAGCCAGCTATACAGTGAGACACCCCGCCCCAAAGAAAAGAAGAAAAGAAAAAGAAAGGTTCAGATTATACCTTCTTTTCCACAGAATGGGTATACAGAAGTTAGACTATGCCTAAGACAGATTTGCTTACCATTAGAAAGTATTTGCTTACTTTGACTTATACAGAAAGTCATACTACAAAACATCATTACCTGGCATATAGTAAGTAGGTTTCAACTATTTGCTAAATGACTGAAGACATCAATATTATGTTTCTATGTGTCCTACCTTAAAAAAAATAAGGTGGGCGGGAAGCATGAATATATCACAAAACGGCAACAGTAACAACAAAAATAAGGAACAACAAAAATTCATGAGCCATTTGTCCAGCCCTGTGTGTTCCCTGTGCTCATCCCATTTAAGGAGTCTCATTATGTCCTCAAAAAAGTGGTATTGTTTCATCTTCATTTCATAGATGAAGGACTAAAGACGTAGAGAGTTTAACTTTCCCACTGACCACAAAAGCCAGTTTTGAACCCAAAGAGTCTGTTCCTAAGTCTGAGAGTATTGACCGAAAGCAGTGAATTAAAAGTCTATCCCTAACCAGGCGTTGGTGGCACATGCCTTTAATCCCAGCACTTGGGAGGCAGAGGCAGGTGGATCTCTGTGAGTTCAAGGCCAGCCTGGTCTACAGAGTGAATGCTAGGACAGGCTCCAAAGCAATACAGAGAAACCCTGTCTTGAAAAACAAAAACAAATCAAACAAAAAAAAAATAAAAGTCTATTCCTGCCTGGTGGAGGTGGTGTACACCTTTAGTCCCAGCACTATGGAGGCAGAGGCAGGCGGGTCTCTGTGAATTTAAGGCCAGCCTGACTACACAGAGAAACCCTGTCTCGAAAAAGAAAAAAAAAAGCCTATTCCTCTACTTGCTACAATCTTATCTTTCACAAATGACCCTATACCCATGGCAAATATTTCTGGCTACTCTAATCACTTATGACGTGTAATTTACCCCATCCAAGTTGCCAAGTTGTCCTCCTCAGACTCACAGGAGCAGAGAAGAAACCAACAAGCAAATGGTCTTCAAACCACACTTAAAGGCAGGCTCCATGTCCAGCAGTAGATGGCCAACACAAAACAAATTCAGTGGCATTTTGGGAGGGTTTTTTTTGTCTAACAATGTTTTGTCTAAGCATTTTTTTAATTTATAGGTCTTTTGCTTATATATTATGGTTTCTGGTTTTATGTTTTTATGGGATTTCACACACATATGTGAGAATATGTGTCTCTATATCTGTATTTTTCTGTGGCTCTTTTTTCTGTTTATTTTGCCCTATTCTGGTTTGCTTTTTATTTATCTTTTAGATGTCTGTTTTCTAATGAAAGAGAAAGAAAGGGTATGGATTCTGGTGGATGGGGAGGTGGGGAAAGACCTAGGAAGAGTTTAGGGAGGAGAAACCATAATCAGAATGTATTACATGAAAAAAAATCTGTTTTCAATTAAAAAGAAAAAAAAGTTTTCCTACGGCTATGGAATGCACAGGATCTACTCAGTTAAACCTATCTAGTGAGCCCGGCATGGAAGCACCATATAACTAATGATGAACATTTCACACTGAAGCCTATGCCTCTTCCAAAACCCGACTCACTCCACCATTTCATTCTGACACAAAGCAAAATCCATTACCTATCGCCAAATCTGCAAGCTCCCGTTTTACTGTAGAATGGACAATTGGCTCGATCTTTCTCCAGTACTCTTACATCCGTGGGCGGTTCTGGGTTCTGCCAAGTGCCACCATTTTCCAACTGTTAAAAATAACCATGACTTTACTGGTGATGTAAAAGCCCATGAAAGACTGTTTGCCCAAATAGTCCAATATTTTAATCTAGAACAAAAATGGTTTCATATATAGACATGCATAGTTAAATTACAATAAGGAATCAAGACCTTATAGGTAACTGTTCATAAATATGAGCTGTACTTCTCTCTTGGCTCCCAGTCATTTTCCTTGATTGGGGATTACTTAATGTTACCAGATGTAGTCATGAAGGTCTTCCTTCTATCCATCTATTCTGAAAGGATCCATGGACGTAGGGAGCCACCAGAAAGAAGTACAAGTTACTCTGAATCAAGGTGGGTAAACCAACCATTTGGGGCCAGTAGTATGTGATGTACATACATTTTTAAGGACTTGATACAAGCATAGCCCATGGGGTAATTCAATACCATCAATCGTCTTCTGTTGTTATATAACTGAATGGTTACAAAAGTGATTCCAGGTATCCAGAAGTAACCAAAACAACCTACCACAAAACTCATGTTATTGGAACTATTGTTCCTAATGAAATATCAATTCTTCTCAAAATCTTTTTGTAAGGCAGTGTCTCTCTATGTAGCCCAGGCTGGCCTCAAACTTGTGGTCATTCTCTTGCTTCAGCCTCCCCAGGGCTAGGATGACTGGAACGTACCACCTCTACCTATCTCAAAGTCTTAATGAAAGGTTTTGAAAATACCTCATTTTCAGCCTGATCCAGCATCTTCTGCACAGCTTCCTATAAGTGGTGCAAACATAGGACTAATGAAAACCAGGATGTTAGGTAAGTCATGTCTGGTTTCTCTAGGTATGAATTTCACATATGACAACACACATACAAAAGGCTTCTGATTCTGATTTCCTTTCTAAGCATATATCTTCTAAAAAGCTTTCAAAAGATATATAGCTTAGAATTTTTATTCAAACACAAAATTTGAATAGAGCACATTGCAAATATTTAAGTCATAATAGCTTCAATAACATATCTGTACATAAATACTATCTTTTAAAAGTTAGGTTAGACATCACAAATATTTAACAGAAGCAAAAACATGACATGATGAATAGTAAGGATTTAGGAGAAATTTTAAACGTTCAGTAAGATAAAGGAAGTCCAACAAGTTATCAATAAACCTCTAACTATTTGGATTTAAATACATACAGTTAGGTACCTTAGTGCCTTACAACCATACATATGACTGAGTTTAGCTGCTTACTTGGTAAGTCTGCCTGTTTCTGGCAACTTAAAAATCATTGGTTTAGTCAGACATGGTGGCACATGACTTTAATCCCAACATTTGGGAGGCAGAGGCACTGATCTCTGAGTTTGAGGCCAGCCTGGTCCACAGAGTGAGTTCCAGGAGAGCCAGGATTGTTACACAGAGAAACCCAGTCTCAGAAAAATGAACAAAACCAAAACCAAACAAAGTCATAGTTGCTTGATGTGATCAAAACAGGTTCTTTTGGGTTTGGTTTTGGCTGAGAGTTGGAGATCAAACTCAAGGTTTTACTTTTGCCAATAAACTATACCCCACCCCCAAACAGAACACTTGATCTCTATCTACTCACCCTCATCATCCAAACCTAAATATCCTCAGTAACAGGAGCTGCCATTTTCCCATTTGTTAAAAAAAAAACACAGCAAACAAACAAAAACAACACCTAAAAACAAGACTTCCATTCCCTTACTTTTCCTTCTTCCTCCCATGAAATTTGCCACCTAGAGTTCTGTCAACTGTTTGTGAGTCTGTTTGAAGCTCTGCCCTCATCCAAATCACCATTATCTCCTACCCAGATTGTAGTTGGTCATCCTATTTCCTCTCTGGCCCCTGTTCTTTGTAGAAAAATCAGGATGATCTGTTGGAGGTAACGTTACTAAAAGAATGAAGTCACTCTTGTTTAAAAACTTGTCACAATATGGTAAATAAAACCAAACTCCTTTAAATCTAAGAGGCTCCTGATCCTCCTGCCTCAGCCTCCCTAGCAAATCCCAGAGTGCAACAAACACAGTAACTTGGGCTTACATAACCTGGGCACACAGAGACTGAAGTAGCAAACACGGAGCCTGCACAGGTCTTCATCAGGGCTTCTGTGCATGTTATGGCTGTTAGCTTGGTGTTTCTGTGGGGCTCTCAACAGTGGGAGCAGATGTACCTCTGACTTTTTTGCCTGCTCCTAGGACTCTTTTCCTCCCATTGGGTTACCTGGATGAGGGCTTTTGCTTTGTCTTATTGTATCTTGTTTTGCCCTGTTTGACTCTTGTCTCTTAAAGGCCTGTTCTTTTCTGAAGAGGAAATGGAGTGGGAGTGACCACTCTAGGTGGTCAAAGTGTATTGTTTGAGAAAAGAATCTACTTTCAATTAAAAAAAAAAAAACTAAGAGCCTCTGCATGGCCTGCCTCTTCTGATCTTCCCTACTTTCTTCTATGCCCTTTCCCCAGTCTCCTGTGGCCTCTAAGTTCCAGGTACCCCAGGATCTTTCCTACCAATATCCCTACACTCAAGTGATAATTATATCAAATACCACTTCCTCAGAGATTTCCTTGGCCAGGTAATCCAAATAAGTATCTTGATCCCCATTATTCTGTCAGAGCACTCTCCATTATTTCTTTATTAGAGCCTAACATTCTTATTGTATGATGTGTTTTGCTGCCTTGCCCTCTGCCCTCCCTTCTCGAAAGTCATTCAAGGAGAGCTGAGACTGTGCTTTTTACTGCTTTGTCTCTGTCCACCCACGAGGTGTCAAGCACGCAAAAGAAACACACATTGCATATTCCTTTATACATGCTTAGAATGGATTTCATTTTACCCACTTCTTAACCAGACTCCCTTGAAAACAAAAGCATTTAGAAAAAGCCTTAACTGGCCAGGCGTTGGTGGCGCATGCCTTTAATCCCAGCACATGGGAGGCAGAGGCAGGCGGATCTCTGTGAGTTCGAGGCCAGCCTGGTCTCCAGAACGAGTGCCAGTTTGGGCTCCAAAGCTACACAGAGAAACCCTGTCTCAAAAAACCAAAAAAAGAAAGAAAAAGAAAAAGAAAAATCCTTAACTTTTACCTGATCCCTGAAAGTTGAAGAATATTCTACTGCTAAAACAGGAATTTATTTATGTCTGTAAAGCACTGACAATTCAAACAATTGTTGTACCCCCTAACATCCCCATCTTGATATTGCCTCATCTGGAAGGCAGTGCTCAAACAAGGGTGCCAAAAACCTGCATTGAAGATGCCACCTGAGGCACAAAACTGGTTGTGGAGAATGCTGCTACCTTTCCACGGCTAAAGTGTAAACACATATATCTCTCCTCATTCTAAGATGAGTGACTATGGAAATGTCATGCCGTTCAAATTTGGTGATGCTAAAGAGAAAAAAAGAATAAAGAATATTGTCATGAATCAGTCAAGGCAAGATGAGCTGTGTTATATTTAAAATCAATACACTGTTGAAGACCAGCAGGAAAACAAACCAATCTTGTAAAAAGAAACCCAGAAAATGTACACGAAATATACATATACATTACAGAATTTCTTTTTTTTTTTTTTTTTGAAGCAATGGTGGGGATTATTAAGGAAAGGTTTTTTTAACACAGATTTAAGCATTAGCAGTAAGAGACAAAGAAAGAAACATGTAAGAAAGGGACAGTAGCATATGTCCTAGAGTGGGCATGGGTTTCTCAAAGAGAAGGTCCCCTAGAATTTCTTAAATGACTATCATTTGCTTTGACAACAAAGTTAGATAGAACACCAGATTCAATAACAAAACTATTTAATTCCTTAATGCCTAACATCCTGATTCTGTTAAGCTAATTCTTGCCGAGATGCTATTAGCTGTTATGTCTCTTATGAGTTAATTAAGTGTGGAAACTATTCAAGGTACTATTCTTCTGTGAAGAAGTCAACACATATACAACAGAACCATAGAAAAGTTAACACTTGCTACAGAGTGATACATAGTGGAAAGCAGGGCCAGCCCCCCAGTTTACAGAAATGTTTTACTAGGTAGAACACATCCACATTCATTCATATACATACTATCTATGTCTGCTTTAGGGTACACTGGCAGAGCTGGATGTCCACAGAAGCCATACAGACATCACAGCTTAAAATTTTGATTATCTACTACCCCTTAAGGAAAATGCTCACCCATCTCAAATATAAAAGGTAAAGTAACTTGGGCTAAAGGAATCTGCCATTGCACAACCCAAAGAAGAGAACTATATGGAAGCTAATCTAATCTATTTCTAACAAAATTGACACTTTCCAAATGAACAGAGCACAAGCAAAAAAATAAAACTAAACCCAAGCCCTGACATGCCACTGCCGATTCCGCAACCCCCTCACATGCACACATGCACCCTAAGAAGATACGCAGGGCTCTATCCTCCTATGACAGAAGTCACCTCTCTTTCTCTCTTCTCCTGTTGTTTCTGCTCCTCTTCTTCCCGCTCTTTTCTCTGCTGCTCTTCCCATTCTGCCTTTAACTTTCTCTATAAAGGGAAAAGAGAATGTAATATTTTTAACTCACACTTAAAAACATGTAGCCTACAGAACAAATCATTGAAAAGTCTAGAAATATTGGTCATTGAAAAGAGAGACAATATCAGGTTTTTTTAATACTAACATATGTAGCTCCCTTTTTGTTCACACAATGTTGAAGATAGAACCCAAGGCCTTGCACATGCTAGACAAGAGCTCTGTCACTGAGCTATATCCCCAACCCCAAGAAAAACAACTTTTTTTTTAAAAAAAAAAGAGATTTTCTTTGTGTGTGAGTGTCCCTGTAAATATATGTGCATGTGAGGATACACATGCAGAAGACAAAAAAATATGGGATCCCTCAGAGCTCCGGTTAAACAGTTGTGAGCCACCATGTGGGTTCTGGGAACAAACCCAGGTCCTCTGGAAGAGCAGTGAGTGAGTACTCTTAACCACTGAGCTATCTCTCCAGCCCCATAACTAACAACTCTTTTAATTTAAACTTATTGTATGTGTATTGGTGTTTTGCCTGCATGTATGTATGTGTCTGCACCATGTATAGGCCTTGTGCCTCAAAGGACAGAAGATGCCTGGAACTGGACTTCTGGATGGTTGTGAATCACCATGAGGGTACTGGGAATCAAAACCAACTTGTTTAGAAGGATAACCAGTGTTCTTAATCCTTGAGCTGTCCATCTCTACTGATGGACACCTCTTTATGAGCTATTTCAGTTAAGTACTTACTCAGTTAACTGGCTAGCTAATACTCTACCTCTTGTTCTTCTTTCCGTTTTCGAGCTGCCTCTTCTTTTTTCTTCTTTGCCCTGAATTCTTCTTGTGCCTTCTCTTCCCTCAGTAACCATTCTTCATGTAATTTTTGCCTATTAGTATAATGATGTAGTCAGTAAAAAAGAAATGGGAATTAATGTAGAATGTATGAAAGACAATAAAGCAAAATATGACATGAAAATCTTAAAAGTATTTTCTGTAACACAGTGAAGAGGTATGGCTTTTGAAAAAGCAACTATCTTTCTGGACAGAAATAAGTTACAATTATTACTGCTACCTTTCATAAGCATTTATGGCTGTGACATCTTTTCTCTCTGTAAGAAAATAACAGTGATTTTCATCTCAGGAAAACATTTCAAAGCAACATCTATGTGAATTTTTCACATTCACATAGCATTATTCTTCCTGATCTATGCATTCTTTTCCCACTAAAATTACTATTTCCTCCTCCTCTTCTTTTGATTTTTCGAGACAGGGTCTCCCTATGTAGTCTTGGCAGTCCTGGAACTCACTATGTAGACCAGGCTGGCCTGGGATTCAATGATCTGCCTGCCTCTGTCTCCCCAGTGCTAAAATTAAGGTGTGTGCCCCATCTGGCTAAATCTACATTTACTAATTTAGTTTTATAACTTTTCATCTTGTCTTCAACCTTTTATTTGTATGTGTATGAACACTTGCTGGCATGTAAAGATGGGTATCACATGCATGCCAGAAGAGGCCAAAGAAAGGCACTAAATGCTCTGGAATAGAAGTTACAGATGACTGTGGATGCTGAGAACAAAGCCTGAGTTAAAATAAGTGCTCTGACTCAGGTAGCCTTCTCTCCAGCTCCCTTAAAACATTTATTTTAAAGACATGCTCACAACTCACAACATTAACTTTTTTCCCAGAAGTTTAAATATTCCAAGGCAAATCACAGGAATCCCTTAACTCTATGGAATAGAAACTCAAAGGTTATAGAGAAAGATGGCAAGATTGTTAATGCTGTAATCATGAAATGGACTTTTTGAATGCATACAACAGCCAGGTGGAACATGCCAATGATCCTAGCAATTGGAAGGATGAGACAGGATTACAAGTTCTAAGCTAACTTGGGCTTATATAGCAAGATCCTTCCCCCAAAAACAAACAACACCCTCCCCACAAAAAGGTAATGTTACCATAAATTAATATGTCCCAGACATCCAGTAGCACAAGCTTCTCATTTAAAGTCTTCATTGAAAGAAAGTGAGTGGGGGGGGGGGGGGAAAAGGGGGGGGGGAAAGAAAAAGAAAGAAATGGAAAATATACATCTAATTTTAGCCTCTAATGTGGGAATTACCAATACGGAGTCAGGTAAAAATATAAGGGAATTTATTAGGGAAAGGCCTTACTTACAGAGCAACCTAGCCAGCCAGCAGGGCAGAAGTAAGTACAGCAAGCCGAAGATGAAAAGGAAGAAGGAGCTTCCATGTGCGTGCTCCTCACACTTAAACCTTCCTATGTCACCCTAGCAGGCCTGGTTATGGTGTCCCCTACACCTGTCAGCTACATTTAGTTTATAAGAGGTATTTTTACAAGATTTTATACACAAAGCCTTTACTAGTTGGTAAAGATAGAAAATACTACAAAAAACAGTTCACTTTAAGTGTTTCAGTTAGTCCTGACCTCTCTTCCTCCATCAGCCTTTCTTCTTCTAATCGTTTTTCTTCAGCAAAAGCATCTTCTTCCTCCTCTTGCTGCGCCAATTCTGTAGAAATTCAGATGTTTTATTAAATTGAGTCTTTATTCATGGAAAATGCATAAATCTTTAATCTTTACAATTATGGTAAAAACCTAAAATTAAGGCAGTGCCTAATGTCATTTATCTCAGCACTCAGGAGTCAGAAGAAAATGGATGTCTGAATCTGAGGCCAGTTTCATCTATACAGTAAAGTCCAGGTCAGGACTAGAGATCCTACCTCAAAAATTAAATAAAAATATCTTAAAAGGAATAGTTGTAGTAAGCCACCACTCGGGTGCTGGAATGGAACCTCAACAGCCAGTGTTGGTTTTTTCTAACTTTTATTCTTCTCTCATACTTCTCCTTCTCCACTCCTCCCAGCCCACCCCCAGTACCTCCGTCTTCCTCAGATCAACTCCTCTTGAGTCCCTTCAAAACACATACATACATACATACATACATATATACATATATACATACATACACACATACATACATACATACACACACACACACACACACACACACACACACACTCACACACACACACACACACAAATAAATACGTAAAAAAGAGCAGGCCTCCCAGGGATATCCACCAAACAGGAGAGAGTTTCTCTGGCTGGCCTTGAACTCAGCTATCCACCCTGCCTCTGCCTCTCAAAGGCTGGGATTAAAGTCCCATGCCACCACTGCCACTAGCTGCAGCCAGTATTCTTAACCATCCCTCCAGCCCCACATTATTTTTTTAAATCAATGGTTCCATAATGATACTCATGGCATGGCTATGAAAAGGGTTCAGAAAAATAACAGGGAGGGGAAGTTAGGGAGGGAGGGAGAACCTGCAAACATTTAACAATTTGACAAATTTATATCAAGCACAAATATATTAAGTGCTCTATTTTATTCAACTTTGTGTGCACTGGAATATTTTCAAAACAAAAGCATGGTAACATAATTCCAATAGAAGAAAACTTTGTCTTCTATTCAAAATTTCAATTTGAAGGGGGTGAAAAGCAGTGACAATGGAGACAAGTGAAGTAAGCTTCAGAAATTGTTTAACAGCTCATCTTCAGTCTTAAAGGAAAAAGTCTTTTGTCATCAATAACAACAGTTTACTGTTGTTTTTCTTTTCATCCTTGACATTATATCCTGTCTCTCCTGGACTAGTTCTTTCTCTTTCTAAGCACAGTCTCTGTGGTATGACTCAAAGCCATCATATCCAGAAATGCTGTTGTGATTTCAACCCTCTTGCCTGCATTTATAAGTACTAATTTTATAAATTGACTAAATTTATAAATCTAAAACATAAATATCAGGTTCTGTCATGTGAAAGCTGAACAGCATGGTGGCTAGCTGCACAGATGGCTTTGCACACTGGGTTTGTGCAGGAACTAGTGGGAGCAATTGCATGGCCTGGGGATGCCATGCTCAGTTGGTAGAGTTGCCTAGCACGAAGGAAGCAATCAGAAGCAACCTGGCATGGTGGCCACACTCCTGTCACCCCAGAACTGGGGAGATGGAGGCAGGAGAATCAGAAGTTCAAACTCATCTTTGGCTACACAGCAGTTTTTAAAGTCAGCCTGTTTTCGGCCATATTTCAGGCGGAGGTGGGGGTGGGGCGGTAGAGGGAGGAATTTCATACTCAGAACAAAGAATGCCTCTACTGCCTGCATCTCTCAATCGGGCGAGCTCCTGCCTCCGTTTCCTCCGTCTCTCCTTCTTCAGTGCAGCCTTGTACTTCTTATGGCTGCAAGATTGGAAAGCACACACAGGGTGTTGAGCAACAGCGACAGAGCGCCGCAGCCTCAGTTCTAGGCCTACCAAGGACAGCGCTCAGAGGCGGAGGCCGCAGGCATGCTTCCCGTGCTTCAATCCCGACCCCCGCCATTCCGTCCTCCCATCCCCGACAGCAGAAATCCTCCAATCCTCCACCCGCTCCCCCTCCTCGCCTCCCCGCAGCCACAGCTGCCCAGGACAGCCAGGGATTCTGGCTAGAATCGGATTACTATTCGTCCCTGGGCGAGCACGGCGGCGACGGCGGCGGGGGCCCCGGGCCTCTCCCCTCATCCCCTCCTTTTCCCTGGAAACGCAGTCGGCCCGGACGCCGCCATGCTGCCACCTTCTCCCCTCCAACGGCAAGTTCTGAGCGGAAGTGGCCTCACAGATGACAAGCTCTACCGCCCACTCAGCGCAGCCACGGGGCGGACCCAAGATGGAAGGAGGGAGGTTTCCTGCCGCAGTCAGGCGCCGCGGCCTGGCGAACTGTTTCCTCACCAAAGCCTCCTCCGGAGCTGTCCCTCCACCCAGACTCGGACCTTTGCTCCTCAGTGTCTCCTGGTCACTTTAGCATCACACCTTAGCCTCTGCGCCATTGGGTGGCGTCTGGAGCTCAAGGAGTTAAAGCCGGAACCCGCCCCGCCCCCTTCATCTCGCAAATCTAAATTGCAGCTGGGTCCCTCGGAAATGCTTTCAGGACCCGCCCCTCTCCGTGGCTTCACCTATCAGCGCCTCAGGCAGAGCTTAAGACTCCGCCTCCTCCTTGTCACTCAGGGTCTCTCCCGAGGCAAATGTGTTGTCCCTTTTATCAACTGGTTTGTTCACTCCTGGGACACAAGAGAGGGATTGATACCTAGGTTATAAGGTGCAGGTGAAGGCGATTTTTTGCGATGGCTATTGAGTTGAGCTTGGAAAGAAGACGGTCTTTACCAAGGGAGGGAAGAGAAAGAACCAAGTTCCCATGTTTTAAAAAAAAGACAAGAAAAATTTAATACTGTATCACAATAATCTACGTGAGGTGTGATGTGGAATTAGACTGAAAAAAATTGTCCTCTTACTTTGAGCACCTACACACACACACAAAATAAATAAATGTTAAAAAGAAAGAAAGAAAGAACGAGAGAGAGAAAGAAAGAACGAAAGAGGAAACCCTTGCTAATAATGAAGTCAAAAACAAGTCCAGAAAAAAATCAAACTGTAGGCAAGCCTGTAGGGCATTTTCTTAATTAGTGATTGATGAGGGAGGGACCAGCCCATTGTGGGTGGTGCTGTCCCTGGGCTGGTGGCCCTAGGTTCTGTAAGATAGCGGGCTGAGAAAGCCATGAGGAGCAAGCCAGTAAGAAGCACCCCTCCATGCCCTCTGCATCAGCTCCTGCCTCCAGGATCCTGCTCTGCTTCAGTTCCTGCCCACACTGTGAGTGAAATAACATCCCCCCCAAAAGACAGACAGAAAGAAATGTTTCTAATAAACACATATTAACACAACCCATCTTTTGGAGGAATTTTCCCTTAATTTATCTTCGTACAAAACAGACAAATAAAAAACAGGGTTTGAGGGGCTGGAAACATGGCTCCATGGTTAAAGAGCACTGACTGTTCTTCCAGAGGACACAGGTTCAATTCCCAGCACCCACATGGCAGTTCAACTGTCTGTAAGTCTAAGATCTTACACTCTCACATAGGCATACATTCAGGCAAAACACCAATGCACACAAAATAAAAATCATAAAAATATATTTTTAAAAAAGAGGGTTTTGCTGGGCACTGGTGGCACATGCCTTTAATCCCTGCACACGGGAGGCAGAGGCAGGCCGATCTCTGTGAGTTCGAGGCAAGCCTGGTCTCCAGAACGAGTGCCAGGATAGGCTCCAAAGCTACACAGAGAAAACCTGTCTCGAAAAAACAAAAAAAAGAGCGGGTTTTATTCACATTTGATCCTCATCTCCTTCACATTCTGTAGCAATTTGTTGCAATGCTTATCAAAGGCATTCACCTGAGACCCGAGATTCTTATTGTTGTGACAGTAGATGCACACTTGGTTCCTGGGTTGTTTTCTGTTTGTTTATTTTGCTTTGGTGTGGGTTGTTTTTTTCTAGACAGAGTTTCTCTGTGTAGCACTAGCTGTTCTGGAACTCACTCTGTAGACCAGGCTGGCCTCGAATTCACTGATATCCTCCTGGGTGCTGAAATTAAAGGTGTGTGCCACCACTGTAGGACTGGAAACATTTTATTGTGAAGATTGCATAAAATATCCCATGCAGGAACATGCAGAGACAACTGACCTGATCTCACAAGAGCTCATGGACACTGGACCAACAGTCAGGGAGCCTGAATGGAACCCACCTAGGCCCTCTGTATGTGGGTGATATTATGCCAGGTTCACGGAACCCCAAACAGACCTCCACAAGGAGCCAACTCTCTTGATGCAAAAGCAAAGGTTTCTTTATTTTCAAGCTGGCCAGCCAGGATCTCACTCCATCGCAAGGAAGTGATCCCCAACCAGCAATTAAGGGAAACTTAAAAGGGAAAGATCATAAGACTGAAGGCCACAAGATACATTTGACTAAGATAGGGCAGGGTTTGCTGGGTGGTGGTGGCCCACGCCTTTAATCCCAGTACTTGGGACACAGAGGCAGGCGGAACTCTGTGAGTTGGAGACCAGCCTGATCTACAAGAGCTAGTTCCAGGACAGCCTACAAAGCCACAGAGGAAAAACCAAAAAAACAAACAAACAAAAAAAGATAGGGCAGAGGCATGGGGTTTATCAATTATCCCTTGGACCAGGGGATTTTTACAACCGGCAGGGGGCTTTTACAACTGGCGCTTAGGGGTTATCTGGTTTCTCTAGGACAAAGATGTTTACACAGGTGGTGGTGAGCTAACTCCCTTTCTTGGAGAGCTGAGCTCAGGATCTTAGACACATACTCCTGGTTAGGGGGTCATTTTTTTTCTTATTATTAGAAGTGTCCTTTCTTTCTGCATAGGTTCAGTGGCCTAAGTCTTTAAACTTTTATTAATTTTTATTTTCGGTCTCTCAGGTGACTGTTGTGTAGCTTGGTCTGTTTGTAAAGCTCCTAGCAGTGAGATCAGGACCTGTCTCTGGTGTTTAGCTGGGTTTTGTTAACCTGTTCCCCATGCAGGACTACCTGGCCCCACCTGGATGTAAGGGGAGCAGCTTGGTCCTGCCTCAACTTATGAGTTTATGCTACATGCCTAGTCCTTGCATAAATCTTAACATTTTGTGAGAATAGGCAAAAAAATAGCCCAAAACTACAAAGAGCTCTGGATGGCATTGATGATTGCAGCCACGTGACTCACCAGTTGTATAGATCCCTGTGACTAGGATTTGTACTTCAAATCGTTGCCATTCAGAAAGCATCACAGCTTTAGCGGCTGCAACATGCATTGCATGTGACTGTCACTTTAGAACAAAAAGCGTATCTTCCAGGAAGATGCTCCAATTTTTTAAAAAGACACAGATGTAGATTTCATTTTATTATGATTGATAAATGAATGTAAATCTCTTTCAATTGGAGTAAGACATTTATTTTCAAGTTAACTACTGAATTCATCTTCAGGAAACAATGAGCTTGAATTGCTCAAGTTAATTTCTTTGCAGAAGGAGCTCTGAAAGCCCATTCTGTTTCCAAACTGAGATTACTATCGTTTGAATTCAATAAAGAAAAATGTGTTCCTAGACTTTTGGGGGAGAGATGCCTAGTTTTAGAATAGACAAACCTTATCCTAACCCATGTGCAGAATAGCTCTCTGGGTGACATTTAACCTACCCAGTTCTACCTCCTGTCTTACCTACACTTCTTTAGAGTAATTGTAGAATCTGCTGGCAAAGCATGAGCTTCCCCAAATAGCCTGGATATTGCTCGGCCCTTCCTTGGGAATGTCCCATTTCAATTAGGACTTTATTCCACTCTGTTCAAAGCAGCATGTCCTTTCAATTTTTGCCTGGTAAGTCCTCCAGTCTTAGAGGTATACAACCTGGAGAGAGCAGCCTTTGGAGGGGCGGGTTCAGCTTTGACAGAAGTGAAGCAGATGCTGTCCAGACTCCGTCTACCCCAGGAAACTTTGGGGGACCAGCTCACAAATGGTCCTAGAACTAACTAGCTTCCTGTGAGAATCATGCCTGCTTTGTCAAATGTCTACATTAACTGGCTCTGTTTTTCCACTAGGTGAGCTGGGAATGTCTGTGCAGCAATTCTACCCTAGGAAAGGAGAATGGGGCTGGCAGCCATCTCTGTCTAGTGACATCTGAAGATGGTGTGCTGTGCTATGTAGAGAGGTGAGCTGTGGGAAACTGGCTGCTTCTCCCCATTTCTGATTCTCTAGTAAATCCTTTCTGAGTTTTCTTGTTGCTATCTCATCTGTTAAAATGTGTCTCATTGCTTTTTATAGATATCCTGTATGTCCAAACAACTGAGAATGAAAACCCATTAGAAACCATTAACATTGTAAACAGTAATAAAAGTGTGGAGGGGCTCAGTGATCTACTACTACTTAATGGAAATGAGCAACAATTTTCATGCAAAACTCTTTTTTGACTAGGGAGGTAGCTCAGTTGGTATAGTGCTTGTAACAATGTACAAGGCGCTGGGTTCAGTCCATGTGAAACTGGGTATGGGTGGAACGAGAAATGCCCCCCCATAGTGTCATGTATTTCAACACCTGGTCACCAGTTGTTGGCACTATTTGGAAGGGCTATGGAATGAACCTTTAGGAAATGGAGCCATGCTGGAGGAAGTACATCACTGGGGGTGGACTTTGAGTATTTACACATCCACTTTCTTTTCTCTACATGCTTCCTATGGGAATGGAAACTGCTTCCTGGGTGAATGAAAATGAGATTAGCCAGCTTCCTGCTCCTGCCACCATTCCAGTGTCCTACCATGCCCCCTGTTCCATTGTGGACTCTATCCCACAGGAACCATAAGCCAAAATAAAACCTTTCTTCTCTAAGTTGCTTTTGCTCAAGATATTTTATTACAACAACAGAAAACTAATACAGTGGCACACATTTGTAACCCCAGGACATGGGAGGCAGAGGCAAGAATATGAGGATCAGGATGTAGCTCTCAACTGCTTCTCCAGCACCATGCCTGCCATGCCTGCTGCCATGCTTCCCACCATGATGATAATGGGCTAACCTTCTGAAACTGTAAGCATACCTCCAATTAAATGCTTTCTTTTATAAGAGTTGCCTTGGTCATCATGGTGTCTCTTCATAGCAACAGAACGGTGAACAAGACAGGGTCTTACTATGTAGCCTGCCATGGCTGGTTTGGAACTTGCTATGTAGACTAGACCTCAAGCTCACAGTGACCACCTGTCTCTACTTCCTGAGTGCTGGGATTAAAGGCATGCACCGCTATGCCCACCCAAATAAAACACTTTTAAAGGCACAAGGGCTCTGAGGCTGGGTGGCACGTTGGGACATGCTCCTGCTGTGACAGGGCTCTCTTCTGGGAACAAGACCCAAGGCAGCTGGTGGCCCAGCTTCTGGTGCTGGTCACCTTCCCTCAGAATCAGCACTCTACCTAGCCAGCCTGGTTCCCCCTTTTATGCTAAATCTGTGCAGTAGGTTGCAGTTGGAGGAGTGGTTGTCCTATGAAGGACTTCCAGAGCTGTGAATGGCTTTATTTTTAAGGCAAGAAAATACAAAAGCCATTTGTGTGATCAAGATTCCTCAAGAAGCAGCCTGAGGTGACCTGTAAGGACGCTTCACTACTCTCTAAACCCAGAAAGCCTATACAGTCATGCAAATCAAGAGGTTCACATCTTCATGTTTAAGAATACCTGTGAAACTGCCCAGGCTGTCAAGGGTATGCATATGATGGCACTTTCAAGAAGTAATGTGTGTCATTCCTGTGGTATGCTGATAGAGTGTAAGGGTGTGTCCTGGGCAAATAGAGATGGACAGAGTGTCTATGGCCCCACAAAGAGGGGTTGAAAGTAGATTCTCTACTTACAGAACATACTCAAGTGAACAAAGCACCCAAGATGTACCATTGAACTTACAGAGCTGACAGCAGGGCTCACCCGTGGGTGAGCTCCCCTACCACGTTGAGATGAGCCTCACTGAAGAGGAACAAATTGTTCCAAAGCCAGAAGAGGAGGCTGCACAGAAGAAAAAGATAACCCACAAGAAACAAAAGCCATGGCAAAGAAATAAATTCAGAATAAAATAAATGCAAATTGTTTTTTAAATATTTATGTGTATGGATATTTTGCCAGTGTGTCTGTGAACGACTTTGTATATCTTCCAGATCAGCCAGTGCTCTTAACTGGTGAACCATATCTCTATCCAACAAATTAATTTGTTTCTTTGTTTGTTTGAGACAGGGTTCCTCTGTGTAACAGCCCTGGTTATCCTGGAACTCACTCGGTAGACCAGGCTGGCCTCGAACTCAGAGATCCACCTGCCTCTGCCTCCTGAGTGCTGGGGTTAAAGGCATGTGCACCGCCACCACCTGACAACAAATAACATTTTAAAAAGAAAGTTCCTCCAAAAGGAGGGTTGACTGTGGGTGCTGTGGGTGCTTGACTGGTAATTTTCGTGCTTAGCATGCATGCAGCTCTGGGAGCAGTCCTCAGCACCACACAAAGTTGGCATGGTGGTACATGCCTGTGATCCCAGCACTCAGGAGGTAGAGACAGGAGGGTTAAGAATTCACGGTCATGTACCCTCAAGATGTTGAGGAACTTTAGCCAGGAGCACCTGCCTGTGCTCTCTGGGAAGACCTGTGTTGTAGCTGAGCCCTCGACAGCCAGGGAGGACAGCAGCAGTGCCCATGCCATGAGGCCTGGCTAGGGCACTCCTGTGCTGCTGTAGCACAAGCTGCCAGGCACCATGTGCATCATCCAGTTCATAAGATGTCGGTATGGACAGCAGGTTGGTGCTCAGGATATGCATGGCTTCCAGGCAACACAGAGGAAGAGGAGGAGAGGATGGGAACTATAATCATAGATGTCCTGGATGTTGGGGTTGAAAGGGGGTCACCTGTGTCCACATATTGCAGATAACAGGTGTCAATTTGAAAGACCCAAGGACTCTGGGAGAGGGTATTCCAGGTGGCAGAAAGTGAAGTGCAGGTGCCAAGAGCTCAGGGCTAGGAATGGGGCATAGCCTGGGCAGCAGTGATCGGTGCCTCCTTCTCATTGTCTCCTTTGGCAGGGGGCAGACTGATAAGAGCAGAGGGAGGGGAAACTTCGGTCAGGATGTATTGAAAACAAAAAATAATAATTTAAAAAGTATGTGTGTGTCTCCACGAGTTTAGGTGCATCACATGTGTGCAGAAGCCTCTAAAGGCCAGAACAGAGCAGTAGGTCCCCTGAAATGGGAATTACAGGTGTTTGTGAGCTCTTCTGTTAATGCTGGGAACCAAACTCAGGTCCTTTGCAAGAGCTATAAATGCTCTTAACCACCAAGCCATCTCAACTCCTGATTGGAACTCTTAAGGTAGCTCATCTTCTTCATGTTTTAAAATGAATTCTCTTGTGCTGGCTAGTTTTCTGTCAACTTGACACAATCTAGAGACATCAGAGAGGAGAAAGCCTCAACTGAGAAAATGCGTCCATAAGGCAAGCCTGTAGGATATTTCCTTAATTAGTGATTAATTGTGGGTGGTGCCATCCCTGGGCTAGTGGTCCTGGGTTCTATAAGAAAGCAGGCTAAGTAAACCAGGGACAGCAAGCCAGTAAGCAGCATCCCCCGTGACACCTGCATCAGCTCCTGCCTCCAGGTTCCTGCCCTGTTTGAGTTCTTTTTCTGATGGCTTTTGATGAACTGTTATAGGGAACTGTGAGTGAAATAAACCATTTCATTCCCAAGTTGCTTTTAATCATGATGTTCCATCACACCCATAGTGACCCGAACTAGGACACCTATCCTTTCCTCTAAGGCCCTTATATATTTAGATCTCCATATATTGCATTTTTTTTCTACCAGATTTCTTCCTCTTACCTGAAGGCCCTTTCTCCCATAGGTTGCTTCTTCTTAGGAGAATTGTGTCAGCTTCCTTTCTTCACTAACACCTGCTATTTTATTATTACCTAATTTATTATGTTTAACAAAAAGAAGGACCAAGGAAGGGGGAGAGAATGAAAAGGGAAGGAGGATGGATTTGTATCTCTAAGATATAAAGGCAACTCAGTTATTCTTTACATTGATTCTTGTCCCAATCTGGAAGAGTTGCTGTAATACAGTGTCCGTAAAAGGTGTGTAAGAGGCTAAGAGGGGAGCTCATGCACCCTGAAAAAGAAATATTTTGTGTGTGCCCTTTGAAAAATCCCAGAATTTGAAATACATGAATTTCATTAAGTTAATTTTTTCAAGATGTTTATTTTTTTGTGGTGATGGGCATTGAACCCAAGGCCTTGTACATGCCAGGCAAAACACTGTACTACTGAACAGCACCCCCATTTTATTTTAAATCCCCTCTTTCTCTTTCTCTGGTGTGTGTATGGCACAGCTTGTATGTAGAGGTTGGAGGACAACTTTTGGTAGTCAATTAGCTGATCTGTTAGCTTTGGGGAAATTCTCCTGTTCCTGCCTTCCATCTCCCAGCAGGAGTACTGAAATTACAGGTGCACACTATTGTATCTGGTGTGTGTGTGTGTGTGTGTGTGTGTGTGTGTGTGTGTGTGTGTGTGTGTGTTAACATGAGTTCTTGGAATCAGAACTCATATGTTAGGCTTATACACTTTTACCAACTGAAAGATTTCCCTATACCTTAGCTCATGTTTTTGTTTCATTTCTGTTGCTGTAATAAAATACCTTGACAAAAATAACTTAGAGGAGAAAGGTCTATTTTAGTTCACAATTCCATCATTGTGGGGAAGTCAAGGTAACAGGAACTTAAAAGAGCTAGTCGCATCACTTCCAGTCAAAAGCAGAGAGAATGCATGCACACTTCTTAATGCTGAGCTTGCTCTCCACATTTATACAAGCCAGGACCCCTTGCCTAGGGAATAGCACCACCCATAATGGGCTAGGTTTCCGCACATCAAGTAACAAGACAACCCTCCACAGACATGCACACAGGCTAATTTGTTCCACATAATTCCTCACTAAGACTCTCTTCCCAGGTGGTTCTAAGTTGTGTCAAGCTGACCATCAGAACTAACCATCATACCTGTTTTAATCACTTTAAGGATCTTTTGCAGGTTCCAAGACACATGAGCAAAAGTCTGCTTTCACCTTTTGTTTACAGAAGAGATATCCCCAAGGTTTACATGTATACCAAACTTTATCTTTCTTTAAGACTGATTTTTTTTAACTTCCGTGGTAAAACACACACAAAATTTACCATACTAACCATTTTTAGTATTTGTCATCCTAAGTCTTTTTAAGTATATAGTTCAATAGTGCTAAACATAGTCACATTCAATAGGTCTCTAGAACTTTTTCATCCTGCAATGCTAACACTATCCATTTGTGTTAGCCTTTTTCTTACTATAACAAATAGTTGAAAGAAGAGGAACAGTTTAAAGAAAGAAGTATTTAAATTTTGGGTATGGGCATTAAGGAGGACACTAAGACAGATTGTTGGGGCTAAAAAATGTATTCAAAGTTATTAATTCTATGGACAGTCAGACAAATAGCCACATGGCTGGGACTCAGGATTTCAGGCCCCAATACCACAAATAGCATGATGGGAACTCTGATATCAGGTCCTACAGAGGAGGCTGGAGTCGGGGTTCCTGCTTACAGTGCTCTGAGAAAGTAAGAAAGGTTTACAGCATAAGCCTTCAGTCAGACTTCCTGATCCCCCAGTAGATGGCAGGAAAGGGGATGAGGAATGGATGCTAGCAACCCATATTCCTTTCATGTATCTGAGCTTGCAAACCCCTCAAGTGAAAAATCAGACACCTGGGAGTCCATTAGGTAGATAGTCACAGAATTGGTCTCAATAGGTTGCCTGTCAATATCTGTGGACTGGGAAGACTAGAGGGACTATTACAGGTATTGTAGCCTGAGCAGCAGTCTGGTATGGAGTCTAACAGGTTTTAGTCCATGGTGGTTCCATGTTTCTGGACATGGAATGACGCAGTACATCACTGTAGAAGAGACTGGTGGAGTAAAACTTTCTGTTGCACAATTTCTAATTGTTCTTAATAATAAAAACTTTGAGTTGGATATTAGGTTAATGCTGGAAATCACCACATTCCCTTTATCAATTTATTTGTCCATGTACATTTAGGTTGCTTCTACCTCTTAGGTACTGGAAATAATGCTATGAGAAAGGGTGTGCAATTATCTCTCTGAGATCCTGCTTTGAATTCTTGGGGTTATCTACCCAGAGGTGAGATTTCTGGATCATATGGTAATTCTGGTTTTGGTGGATATACCATGACACTTCTCTACATCCTCACAACACTTGGTATTTTGTTCTCATCTGATAGTGGCTATCATGATGGGCATGCTGTCATAGCTCATTTTGTTTTGTTCTGCATTCTCCTAATGTTTCCTGTTGTTGAGTTCAAGGCTAGACTGGTCTACATAGTGAGCTCTGGAACAGCCAGGGGTACTCAGAGAAACCTTATCTTTAAAAAAAAAGACAGATAAAGTACTCTGAAATTAAGAAATGCACACATAACCTTTGATGCCATTTTGAGATCAGCAACTCCAAATGATGGTTACTCTGAGTGGGACCAATACTGTAAGATAAGATAATTTAACAGTTTGAACAAAAGAGTGATGTCATTAAATAAAATTCACAAGAACCTCTTGTTGTGGGTTAAGCTCCTGTATTAGGCCCAAACGGAAAAATCAAGATGGGTCATTTACATTAAACTTCCATTTTCTCAAGCAGAAACTAAAGTTTCTCTGACTTTCTGAGAAACAGAGATTAGAGAGATTTAACAAGAAAATGCCGAACAGGCCATTTCAATTGGCATAATGAGGACTCCTCTGCCTTAATCCTGTCACAAGAAAAAGTACCCTAAGGTATCCTGATGTTATGTGGTTATGGGTTTTTGTTTTTATTGTTTCATCTCCAAGTCTTTGCTTTACAAGGATAGGAATTTTGAAATGCTGTTACAAAAATGAAAGAAAAAAACATACATGTATACATATAAGTATTATTAAATGCGACATTTTAAAATAACCTAGTTAAGATTTTAAGCAAATATACATTAAAACAATATGCTGCCTAAATATGAACATCTTAAGGGGTGACTTGGCTGGCTGCTGGCTTGGGCTTCACTTGTATATTGAGCACATAATCATGGCGGAAGGATGAGCGGACAGTACGGTTCATCAGTGGCTGCAGTGGGCGGAAGTTGTCCACCATTCTTTTTTCTTTCTCCCCCTCAGAGGTGACAAGCAGGGTCCGAAACTGCTCAAGCTAGAACCAAAAAATATTAAGAATAGCAATCAAAAACCAGCTTTAGTACATGGATAAATTACTTCCATTGTGTTTTAAGACAGGCTCTCACTGTGTAACCCTTAGAACTCATTTTGTAGACCAGGGTGGCTTTGAACTCTCAGAAGGCCACCTTCTGTCTCCTACAAGCTATGATTACAGACATGCACCACCACACCTGGCTTGCTTTCACTTAAAGAATTCTATAACACTTGGCCTCTAATTGTATTCAGAAAGAGAACTTATTTCTGGGTGATACGTCTTCACCCCTTGGCAAATGGTTAAATGCCATGTTGTTGGTTGGCATGGTTGTGTGACAGCAGCAGGAATTGGTGAAACCAGTCAAGCTTTTGGGATCTGAAGATGAGGGACAAAGGCCCTGGTCCCCAGATATTAGCTGTTTGCCAAAGGTGAGTTACATCATCTCTTTGATTCCGAGGAATATCAATGGAGAGAAAAAGACTGGAAAAATGGTATGTACAAAATGATTCCATTTTGTTAGAAAATTATGCATTTATAAAGATAAAAGATCATTAGGATTTATCCAAATAATTAATAATACTGAGTGCTAAAATAACCAGTGATTAGGATTATAAATGACAGATAACATTTTAAAAGTCATTTATAATCTTAATCACTGGTAATTTTAGCACTCAGTATTATTAATTTTAAGTACATATATTAATTATACCTAATAATGGGTTTCATTATGAAATTTTCTTACATGTATATAATAAATTTTGATCCTATTTATTGCTACTCCCCATCACTTCCCACTTCCACTTCTACTGATTCTTTTTCAAATAAACCACCAGTCCACCCCTATCCAAATCAAAAGCGATGGCATTGTAAGTAACTGTGGCAAGGGCTGTGAGTCTAACACAAGTTTAACTACTTGTGTTCCTTCAGACCTCTGGTTTTCTTTTGTAGTTAAAAGAACTCCACTCATCTTGCACTCTGAAAGAATTTCTCCATGATGAACTTTTATGATGCTTGCCTGTTTTGTAGTTCTGAGGGTTAAATGTGTGGCCTCACGTATGCCAGGTAAGCAGTTTACCACTGAGCTGTATCCCCAGCTCCAATTATGCTATTTTTTACATTTAATGTATTGAAAATGTGTTGCTGTATAAAGTTTGAATGCTAAATCCAACTCCCCTTTGGTTGTGATATTTTGTTTGTGTTCTGTGTTCTGACAAATAAAGCTTGCCTGAAGATCAGAGGGCAGAGCTAGCCACTAGTTAACCATAGAGGTCAGGAGGTCTGTACAGAGAGGAGACAGGAAGTGACAACATGGGGCAGAAACAGGGAGTGATAAGATGGGGCATAGACAGGATGTGGGCCCTTTGGCCTGAGGATTTGGAGAGGTAAGAAGTGATAGTGGCTGCTGCTTTGCTTCTCTCATCTTTCATCATTTACCTCAATATCTGACTCCGAGCCCTTATTGATAAGACCTATTAGGATCATGCTTACCACCAAACACTGCCATTGCCACATATTTATAGAATTTCCACTCCTTTTTCCTCACTTAGTTGAGATGCTGTGAGAACCAAAGTTAATTTTAAGTTTTAATTACTATGCCTTAGAGATCCATGAAACAAAAATGCCTCTGATCTGCAAACCCCTTGCCCAAGGAGAGAGAGTTCCTGAAGTGTTGGAGGCTATTGTTTATGGGAGATAACAAGCCACATAGTTTCACTCCCTGTCTAAACAAGCACTGGATGTGCTTGATCACATGTGGGCAGAAAATATGGATATATGCTTGCCCATGATTGGACCTGATGGGAAATGCAAGGAATTATGGGTTTTCCTTCTTAAGCCCTTGCCGTACTTGATTCTGGGCCATTTCCCAGGGAACCTGGGTATGAACCTGGCCAGAGCCCATCCACCTGGCCCCTATTTAATTAAAGCTTGCTTCCAATTTGGATTTAAATGTGGTAGAGGCCTTATTCTCAATTAGTGGGATTAATAATGCCACCTTTATCATAAAGTAAATTCTCATATGTAGTTTGACACATTTTTGAACTTACAACTTTCTTCTTACAAAGGCTAATTTTCTCTCTCAATCAGACTAAGGATGTGGGGTAGCTGGGTAACTTATTTCTAAGTGTGTCTGTGAGGGTGTTTCCTAGAAGAGGTTATGATTTGAACTGGGGGACTCAACAAAGCAGATGGTTTTCTTTTATATGAGAGTGTCAGCCACCATGGAGAGTCTGAATAGAACAAAAGAGTAAAGGGTTAACTTTGCTCTCTGCTAACTGTCTTTTTGTTTTGTTTTAAGAAAGAAGCTTAAATAGCCTAGGCTGGTCTTGAAATGCTATATAACTGAGGGTAGCCTTGAACTCCTGATCATTTTTGTTTTGTTTTGTTTTGTTTTTTGCCCCAAGACAGAGTTTCTCTGTATTGTTTTGGAGCCTGTCCTGGAACTCTCTAGGTAGACCAGGCTGGCCTTGAACTCACAGAGATCCACCTGCCTCTGCCTCCTGAGTGCTGGGATTAAAGGAGTGTGCCACCAAAGCCCCGTCGAACTCCTGATCTTTCAGTGGCCACCTCCCACATGCCAGTACTATAGGCTGTATCTCAACATCTAGTTTATGTGGAATTAGAGAACCTACTACTATTTTGGATTAGGTTCCTGCATTGGGTCCCACTAGAGCAACCCATTGATTTTAGGGGTCTCCATAAAATCAATATGGAGAAGCTGGGTGTGGTGGTTCTCTGATCCCAGCACTTGGGAGACAGAGGCAGATAGACCTCTGTGAATTGAGACTAGTCTGGTCTACACACGAAGTTCCAGTTCAGCAAGGGATACATAGTAAGACCCTGACTCAGAAAAAGAAAATCAAGATGGAGTCACACTAGATTTCCATTTTACCAAGGGGAAACTAAACTGTTTATCTGACTTTCTGAGAAACAAAGATTAGAGAAATTTAACAGCAAAATCCCAAATAGGCCATTTCAATTAATGTTGAAACGAAGATTTCCTCTGCCTTAATCCTGTCACAAGAAAGAGTAACCTAAGATAAATTGATGTTTTTCGGTTGTGGATTATTTTCCTATTGCTTTGGCTCCCTTTCTGTGCTTTCTAAGCCCCACCATGTCTGGCTTGACTGCTTTTGAATTGAGCCATCAATCTGCCTCCACACTAGGAGCTCCTAGTTCTCAGGCCTTGAAGCCAAGACTAGGAGGCACACTGTTGGCTTTCCGATTGTTAGAGGCTATGTCAGTGGAGCCCCAAGTCAGCAATGGAGCTAATGGAATACAGGCCACCAGATAACAAAGCTCTGATGGGTATACCCTAGAGGCAAAGCCCCAGGGGGATTGTTTCCTGAGTGCTTCCTTGTGCTTGCTGCTATCATATTCTTGTTGTATTTGGCATGGTGTAGTTAATAAGTGAAAGGATCCCACTGAATCTAGTAAAGTGTGATTGTTTCATGGGAGGATCCCACTCCTCACTGAGCAATTTACTTGTAGGTCATAATGAAGATGATTTTTTATAAGAACAATGCACTTATTTGGAGTAGTAATTTAAACATGTAGGTGGTTAAGATAGTTAGTAAAGATGATTAGGGAAATGGTTTAGGTTATTCTGCCAATTGCTGTAATAAAACATGGAAAAAAAAGACAAAAATGGGCTAGTAGTCACCTTCCCCTTTGTTAGATGTGAGATTTGCCAAGGATGGAAAATAACAACAAGGAAGTTTCATGCATTGTAGACCCATGAATTCTGCCTGTGGAAAAACAGGCTGATGATCCAAGAGGGCAATTATGTCCCTACACCAAAGGTCAGGCCTGAGTTCCTTGGTCATGTAGTTTACAGAATTAATCACAGGTTTCGGTATGCAACTTGAAAAAAACCAAGTTGTAAAAGGAAATTAAATGAGCCCATTGTGTGTAAAGAAAAGTAGATAGTTAGCTGACCACTTGCTTAAATTTTTTCGGAATCTGTTACACTGAAACCAAAAACAGCTGCCTGCCAGTACAAAGGAACTGGCTTGCTTAGAACTTTGTTAATAATGAAGGAATCATTGCTTTGGGATGAAGATGCTGTGGTGGGAAAATAAATACAACGAAAAATGTCTAACTACTTGTGTGCTTCTAAGTGACTTGTGATCATAATGTGATTTCTTCCTGTATAAAGATTTTAATTTGTTTTTGGAAAATATGTAATTATGGTTGTGAGGTTACCTTTTCTTGCACAGAAGTTTTTGGCTTAAGTGGTATAAAAGGGATATGAAGCAGCAGCAGAAGAAAGAGAAAAATAAGATGGACAATTAAGTTTTGCTTCCTCAGATAAGCTTCCTGTGTATATGTTTAGTAGTGGCCAACTACACATCTCCTCTCCAGTTTCTCTGACCTGCTCAAACTGGTTCTTCAGGAGTAGATAGCAACCCAGAAGACTTCTCAGCCTCCATAATCACAAGAGCCTAAGATGCCCTGCTCAAGAGAACCCAGTCTAATTCATTCCCACTTTCCCTTCCTGCCTGCCTGCTTGCCTCCCTCCCCTCCCTCCCCCTCCCTCTCCTTCCTGCCCCCTCTTCTGCTCTCACTGTCTTCTTCTTTCTCCCTCTGTCTCTGTCTCCCTCTGTCTCTCTGTCTCTGTGTCTCTGTCTCTGTCTCTCTGTGTCTCTGTCTCTGTCTCTGTCTCTCTCTCTCTCTCTCTCTCTCTCTGTGTGTGTGTGTGTGTGTGTGTGTGTGTCTCATTGGCTCTATTTCTGTTCCTATACACTTTCTTCATTATTTGTGGTATTCCTGTGCCATACTGGCATTTAGTTTTTGAAGCTATATAGTTTTGTGAATTTAATTACTCCTTCTTTGTTCTTTTAGGAATCTCCCTGGCTATTTATGCATATCTGTTTTGACTCAAATTTATGTCTAGGGCTGGAGAGATGGCTCAGTGTTTAAGGGTGCTTGCTACTCTTACAGAAGAACCACATTTAGTTCCCAGCACACATACTGAGAAACTCAATCTCTACTTCAAGTTCAAGTGGATCTGACACTCTTTTTCTGGCTTCTGTGTGAGTTGGCACATACACACAATTAAAGACAGATGAAAATGAGGTTAAGATCACTTGCTGCTTTTGTAGAGAACCTGAGTTCAGCTCCCAGCACCCACATGGATTCTCATAACCATCCATAACTCCAGTTACAGGATATCCAAACCCTCTTCTGGTCTCTTTGGGAACTAGTCATATGTGTGGTATATACATACATGTAGACAAATATTCATATACATAAAATAAAATTTTTAAAATAAAACCTTTTAAAAGTAATGTGTCAGAGCTGGAGAGATGGCTCAGGTTAAGAGCACTAACTGCTCTTCCAGAGGACCCAAGTTCAATTCCCAGCACCCACATGGCAGCTTACAACTGTCTGTAACTCCAGTTCCAGGGGATCTGATACCTTCACACCAATGCACATAAAATAAAATTAAATAAATTATTTTTAAAAAGTAATGTGTCCACTTTAAATCCTATTGACATATTTATTGGAGCTACATTAAGTTATGGAGACTAAACAATTCATGGAAAATATAACAACTTGAGGAAAACTGACATTGTTATATTGTCTTCCTGGCCAGTAATAAGAGTATGAAGTTAATTAAGTATCCCGGAAGATTTTTAGTTTTATTGTTAGCATTCCTTGTTCAAACTACTCAGATGTATTTTATAGTTTTATTCTGCCCATTTCTATGGCTTTCTTTTATTATATCTTTGTATCATTATGTCTTTTAACTGACATATATTTGATATACATTTTTATTTCTATATATTAGCATTATACTGTACCAACTGCTAAATTATTTTATTTTTGTATTTTTTAACTGTTTTCCTTGCTTAGTTTTAGTTCTTGATCTGATTATATGGGCCATTTCTACATTTGTTTTTGTTTTTTGTTTTTGTTTTGTTTTGAGCCTCACTAGTGTTGGGATTAAAGACATGTACCAACATACCCAACTGCATAATGTATCTTTTAAGAGAAAGGAGTAGTCCTGGTATATTGCTCAGCCAAGTTTTGAACAGCTAGGCTCAAGAAATCTTTCTGCCTCAGCCTCCTGAGTAGCTAGGACTGTAGGCATGCACAGCACATAGATAATTCTAGAATAGAATTTAATGTAACATTTACTATGGTTGCAGTTATTTCCAGTGGGCATGGTGAAGTGTACTTGTAATCCCAGCATTTGGGAGGTAGAGGTGGGAAGATCAAGAGTTTAAAGTCATCTTTAGCTACATAGTCAGTTGGAGACCAGAGTAGGCTACATGAGACAAAAAATTACTTCCATATAAAACACAATTATTGGTATTCTCTGTCCATGGTCTCCACATAAATATTAGAAAAATACTGTTGGTACTCAGGAGGCAGAAGCAGGAGGATCGTTGTAATTTCAAGGCTAGCTGGGGCCACACAGTGAATTCTAGGACAGCCAGGAAATTGCTTCTATTGAACATTGTACAGATATTTTCTTGTCATTACTTACTAGTCAATATAGTAGGAAAATTTACATAGTATTTACATTGTTTGGCAATATAATAGTAAAGAGTACTATGCAGGTGATTTAAAGTATAGTAGTAGAAGTGTATAGGACTATGCAAATATTAAAATCTTATGCAATTTCATATAAGGGACTTGAGCATCTGTATGGTTTATAAATTTTGGGTTCTGGAACCAGTCTTCCACAGCTACCAGTGGATGACTGTATTTACTTGGTAAATTTATTATTTTTGTTTCTGAGAGAGAGAGAGAGAGAGAGAGAGAGAGAGAGAGAGAGAGAGAGAGAGAGTGTGACCCATGTGTGGTATCTATTATATGGGCCAGAAGAGACATTCTATCCCCTGGAACAGAAGTTACAGGTGGCTGTGAACTGTCTGACATGAATCTTGGATCTGAGCATCTGTCCTCTGGAAGAACAGTAAGTGCTCTTAACTGCTGAGCCATCTCCCTAGCTCCTGAATTTACTTTTGAACTAAGATCAGTTGACCATGGCAAGGAAGTCTCTATTCATCTGTATTTCATTACAAATTATTATGGACAGAATAGAGCTCAGCATGGATGCACATGCCTTTTATCCCAGAACTCAGGAGGCAGAGGCAGGAGGATTTCTGGGAGTTTAAGCCTGGTCTACATAGTGAGTTCTAGAACAGACAGGGCTATATAGAGAGACCATGTCTCATAAAACAAAAGCCAAAACAAAAATAGAAGCTTTAGGGGCTTTTCCTTTAACTCACTAGCTCACTCCTATTTGAGGGAATAGTACTTTCTCTTTCTTAATAAACTGTCTTTATTTCTATGTCTTTAATTAAAAAATAAGACTTTTAAAAATGTCTTTTAAGAATCTATGGAAATGAGGGCTGGGGATGTGGCTCAGCAGTAGACGGCTTGCCTAGCATGCACTAGGCCTTAGGTTCAATTCCCAGTGCCATCTAAAACAATAGAATCTCAATGGACAGTGGTGGCACACACCTTTAATCCCAGCACTCAGGAGGCAAACAGACAGATTTCTGTGAGTTCAGGACCAGCCTGTTCTATAAGAGATCAAGACAGCTAGGACTACACCAAAAAACTGACTCAGAAAACAAAAGATGAAGAAGAAGAAGAAGAAGAAGAAGAAGAAGAAGAAGAAGAAGAAGAAGAAGAAGAAGAAGAAGAAGAAGAAAAAATTCTGGAAATGTTAATTTTTTTCTAGGCAGAGTCACCGATAGCATGAATTTTGTTACTATAATAATAAACAACTATCCGGGGCTTGAGAGATAACTTGGAAGTTAAGAGTTTTTGCGGCTTGTCCTCTGGATCTACATTGGTTGGCTCATAACAAACTGACTGTAGCTGCAGAGGATCAGACATTCCTTGCAAGTACCCACACCCAAGTGGCATACACTCAACAGACACACATGTACATAAAATAAAATAAAAATTAACAGTAACAACCATCCCTCTGCTTCTGATACACTGCCGATTCTGTTTCTAATATTTTCTTTTACCTCTTTTCCTTTCCTATCTGTCCAAAGTATACTTTGGTAGGGTCATCATTGGTGGTGTCATTCACAAAGTTTGGAAGGGGGCTGGAGAGTTGGCTCAGTGGTTAAGAGCAGTGGTTGCTCTTCCAGAGGACCCAAGTTCAATTCCCAGCAACCACATGGTAGCTCATACCTGTGTGTAACTCCAGTTTCAGGGGACCCAACACCTTCATACATACATGCAGGCAAACCACAAATGTACATGAAATAAAAATAAAGTGTTTTTAAAATTTGGAATGTTTTGTTTGTTTCGTGTGAAAATGCTTTGTAATCAATATACATCCCGCACAACAAGTATGAAAAATATTGGAAATTATCTGTTTGGTATGCATGTGTGTGGTTTGATCTGTGTGTGTGTGTGTGTGTGTGTGTGTGTGTGTGTGTGTGTGTAGGGAGGGGTTACTGGGGATTGAACCTGGGACTAAGCTAGATCCCAAGCTCATGACCAAATATTAGTGCATTTTAGTTGTAAACTAAGCAAGACTTTGTCTATAGGTATAGTTATCACTTCAACTGATTTTCTCAGCAAATATAGACCATAGGTTTAAATAATATTCAGTTTTCTTCATAGTCATTGTTAGTTTCCTTGGTTTCTATTGCAGAAGTATTATGCAGGCTCTGGACATTTCCAGTTTTCACTCTTCCCTTCACCTGGGTCTTGATTTTAAATAGAGATTCACAGTTACAGTGGAAGCACACGATTCATAAGCAAATGGAGAAGCAGATAGCTATGTCCTTCTATGCTTTAAGTCTTTTTCTTGGCAAAGGCTAGGGATATAGGACCAAATGCTTGCCTAGTGTGTGCAAGGCCCTCAGTTCAATTCCCTAGCACCACAAAACAATACAACAAGCACAAAAATAGTTCATTTAATGTTCCAGGCCAGCCTTGGTTACACAATACCCTACTTCTCCCTCAAAAAACAAGCAAGCAAACAAGCAAAAATGATATCAAGATATGAGCCCAGCCTGAGCAGGCAGACTAGCATTTCCTTGGATGTAAAATATGCAAGGAATACCTGATCACGATCAACCTCTACTGGCTGCTTCTTGATGATCCAGGTAACAGACTCTGAGAGGGGTGGTGTAGTGAGAGACCCAGAGTAGGTCCAGTAATCTGGGCAGGTAGGCATCAGACAGGAAGGGTCAAATGATCCAAATTCCACCAGGGTGTCCTGTCCAAGAGAAGGAGTTACTGAGTTGTTATTCACTGTTTAAAATCACTCAGGTATCAGAGGGTGAGACGGTGATTGTAATGGAGTGTCCAGGGACCAACAGTGGTCCAGGGGAGGTCCAGGGACCCTGGGTAGCTTCTGAAACAGTCATCACTACTTAACACAAAATCACACTGTGTGTTTCTGATAGTTCTCCCTGGGAAAACAGTAAAAAACGTTACTCTTTCAATTCTGTTGGGAGGTATTAGGTAGTGGCTGCTCATAAAACAGAGCAGCTTTTCTTCAACAGAAACTAACTCAGATTTGTTCTTTAAAACTAGCACAGAGCTGAGGATGTAGCTGAGGATGTAGCTCAGTGGTAGAGAGCTTGCCTAGCATGCTCCAGGCACTGAGTTCCATCCTGACACTGCAATGAAAAAGAAAGACAGGGAAGGAGGAAGGGAATGCCAGAATCCTGGACTAAGGAGAAAGAGATTAAGAAGGAGACAGGAAGTGAGAGAGGGAGGGGAATAAGAAGACAGAGAACAGAGGAATGGTGTGCTGATTTCCAGGAAGCAGCCCCTATGGGATTCTGATATTGAGGAATTCATCTTGGCAGTTGGACAGAGGACTAGAGTTCTTCACTTCTAGACAAGTCACATTTCTGTAAACCATCTCCCTGCTTACTCGTGGGAGGTAGCTGGAGAAAAGAAGTCTCTACAAAGATGGAGAAGGAGCAGTCAGGAACAGAGTAGATTCCTGGTCAACAAGTACTGAGCAGAAGAAGAAAGCTTCACCAGGGTAATTTCCCCTGTGCCCTGCAGTGTTTAACCAAAGGCTGATCAGCATCAATACACCCTCATCCATGCCACGTCTCCTCCTGCAGCAGTGCCGAAAGAGACCTGAATGTAGTTCATTTATTTGTCTTCCTGCTTCAAAGTACATTATCTACTCTGAGATTCAAATATAAAATGTATTTCAAGTGATGTTACGGGGAAAATTACCTTGTGCTTAATTGATGGCAAAGTGTCCACCAATTTTTGTAGTTCTTTATGATGTTTACCTAGCTAAAAAATAAAAGAAGAAATATTACATTCAATGGCCATTTCACTGTAGAAACTCAAATAGAATGTGAATCAAAATTAACCACCTGGTGGTTACATATAAACAAATTGCAGGGCTGAAACTAGATTTCAGCTGGTAATTACAAATATTATTAACATCACTAAATTAAATTAGACTTAGAGCAAAATGAACAGGCTGTCTGCTGGCAAGAATAGCGTGTCTATAGAAAAAAGGTGCCTCCTGCTCCCATCAAGTATCATTTCTTACACTGAATTTTATTTTAATTTTAATTCAGTGTAAGAATGAATGTAATTTGATGAAATTACAAATTAAAGCTGGGTGTTGGTGTCGCACGCCTTTAATCCCAGCACTCGGGAGGCAGAGGCAGGCAGATCTCTGTGAGTTCGAGGCCAGTCTGGTCTCCAGAGCGAGTGCCAGGATAGGCTCCAAAGCTACACAGAGAAACCCTGTCTCGAAAAACCAAAAAAAAAAAAATTATAAATTACCCTGCATTTTCACTAGCCCCTCCCCCAAGATGGAGTCTTACCATGTAGCCTGGGCTGATCTCAAACTCTTGATTGTCTTGCTTCAACTTCCCAAATGAAGCATATTTCAAGTGCTCACTTGCCCCAGATGGCTTGTGTCTACTTTATTTGGCTGTGTGCTTTTTAAGACTTATTTTATTTTTTGTCTGTATGTGTGTCTGAGTAGGGATACGTGCATGTGTGGGCAGATGTTCATGGAGTACAGAAGAGGGTGTTGCATCCAATGAAGCTGGAGACAAAGGCAGTTCTGAACAGCCTGATATACATGCTGGGAACTGAGTATCAGGCTTCTACAAGATCAGCAAGCACTCTAGACCATCAAGCCATTGCTCTTGCCCCTGGACCACATTTTTATACCATTTAAAATATATTCATAATAGTTATTGATTTTAACTACTTTATTTTTGCCATCTTTATGTAAAACATACATATTTTTAGACAGAGTCTCACTATATAGTCCTGGCTGGCCTCAAACACACAGAGATCCATTGGCCTATACCTCCTAAGTACTGGAAATTAAAGGTGTGTGCAACCACACTTAGTCTGGTACTAATATTGTTTTTAAAATATTAAATAAACAGAATGATGAATTTCCTTGTGATATCCCCATATACATCTATCATATACTTTAATTATATTTGCCCCCCTTTCCCTTTCTTTTTCCTCCCCTCTCCCATTGATCCCAATATTCTTTTTTTCTTTTTCTTGATTTTCTCTGCATAGCCCTGGCTGACCTGGAATTTATTCTGTAGACCAGGCTAGCCTCAAACTCAGAGTTTCGCCTGCCTCTGTCTCCTGAGTGCTGGGATTAAAGGCCTGTACCACCGTGTGCGTGAGAGAGCATGCATGAGCATAGGGAAGGTTAATGTATATTTGAGTGAAGGCATCCAATACCCCTGGAGCTGGATTTATAGGCAGGCATAAGTTGGTGGATGTGGGTATTGGGAATTGAACTTGGATCCTCTACATGAGTAGCCCATGTTCTTAACCATTAAGCAATCTCTACAGACCAGTCTTTCCTTTTAATTGTAAATTTTCTTCAAATAAGTAACTTATATTGGGGTTTTTTTTTTTTTTTGGTTTTTGATTTTTCCAGACAGGGCTTCTCTGTGTAGCTTTGGAGCCTATCCTGGCACTCGCTCTGGAGACCAGGCTGGCCTCGAACTCACAGAGATTTACCTGCCTCTGTCTCCTGAGTGCTGGGATTAAAGGCGCCAACAACGCTGGGCCAAAGAACTTATATTGTAATGTTCTATCTTTTCAGTGTAAGACACAATATATCATTTCAACTTGGTGAGATGGTTTGCTTGCTTGCTTGCTTGCTTGAGTCAGGGTCTCTCTCTATAGGCCTGTCTGTCCTGGAACTCATAATGGCCTGGAAATCACAAAGTTCTGCCAGCCTGTGCCTCCCGAGAGCTGAGATTAAATGTTGCCACCATGCCCAGCCTGAGTTTTTGTTTTTACCTTTAAAAATACACCAATCACAGCCAAACCATTTTCTTCCAGTGCTGCATCCTCGAAGCTTCCAAATTTGACTGCATTCCAATGCACCAAGTGCAGCTGAAACAACCGTTAAGAGTGGGGTTTATACATGACCATGTAGAGTTGCATGAAAAAAAAAAACTGACAGCCCCATCCAACATGTAACATTTAATCTTGTTTCATCACCCAAAACAGAGCCACTGCGAAAAGTATATGGCAGTGTGCTGCAAAAGGAGATGGACATAAAGAATGGGAAAAAGACACTGTGGCAAGAACAGCAATATTACTTTGGAAGAGAGGAATTTGTGAGGGGAGAAAAAAAATACAATTCACATAGTAAAGTAACTTTGCAATGACAGATCAACATTTTCTTCATTCCCATCCTAATTTGCATAAAATACTAATTCCCAAATCCATTTGCATCTAAAAGGAGAGATGATGTTTATATTAAGAGACATACATTCTCCCTGTGAAAATTAGATGGGAGCCAAAGACAAATTTCTTCTTGGAGGGATGATCACTTAAAATGTTTTCATTTTAGCATCACATTTAAAACTAAATTAAGGGGAAAGTTGCAAGAAGAAATTCGATTTGCAAAGAGAAATCCTATTTCTTTGTGCTTCACTTGCATTTCCATATAAGTTATTCTCAAAGCACTGCATTAGCATCACCTAACCTCCCAAGTGAGCCACTTCAAGGTCCCAGTTAGCTTTCCCCTCCTGAAAGGGAGCCCAGCCGCAAGTTCTGGTGCTTTGGCACTTTCATTTCAGAACACTTTGATCGTCTCCCTGTTTCTTTCTCTCTCTCTCTCTTTTGCCACAGCCTTCACTTAGGCTCCCACTATTTTCCACTTGGATTAATCCAGCCTCACAGCTCAACAATAGCTTGTGGCTTTAGGAATAACTGCACCTAGCTCAGAATTCAGACACAATTCTGTTCTAACTTTCAATATTTATTTATTTATTTTATGTTTCTGAGTGTTTTTGCCTGCATTTATGTCTGTGTATCACATATGCACCTGGTGCCTGTTGAGGTCAGTAAAGGACATCAGATGCCCTGGAACTGGAGTTATAAATGGTTGTGGCACCATGTGGGTGTGGGGATCTGAACCTAGGACCTCTTGCAAGAGCTGCTCTTAACTGCTGACCTCTTTCCAGTCCCAGAGTTCAGTTTTATCATCTTAAGGTTTGTTTCATCAATACTATTTAGAGTGGATATAACTTTTGCATGTATAAGATGGGAAGGCTCAAGTATGGCCCATGTATGCTAAACAGGCTTTAAAGCATCACCTGAGACTTCTTGGTAATTTCTTTGAATGAGAAATCTCAGAACTATCCCCACTTTTCCACACCTATTGCTCTTTTTAATTTATATTCAACATAATTCTGCTGTTCAATCTGGGTGTGAATACCTTTAATCGGAACACTCAGGAGGCAGAGGCAGGAAATTTCTGTGTGTTCAAAGCCAGCCTGGTCTACATAGTGACCTCCAGGACAGCCAAGACTACAGGAAGACCTTGTCTTAAAGAAAATAAAAGAACGAAAGGAAAAGAAACATACCTCTGCTGGGTAGCATTTGCTGTCCACAGTGTGCTCGGAACCCCAAGCATCAATGGCCCCCCAGTGAAAATGAAACTGCTTCAGTCGGTAGTTGTGTTCTAGGGGTCCTCCCTCAATCACTGAAATGACATATCCAGCAATTCAGGGAGCATGGGGAAAAGATGGACCCTGTCCTTGAATCATTTGGAGTATGTAATATTACATACAAGTATTTATAAAACTGGTTTCCACAAAGTAAACACATGTATAAAGATTTGGCTAAAAAATATCAAGACTGAATCATGTACCAAGCAATATGCAAATGTTAAAGGCTAGATTTCAGCTTATTTCAATTAATTAATTAATTAGACATGAACTTTCATGTATCCCAGGCTGGCCTCAAACTCACAATATAGCCAAGGATGATCTTAAACCAGATTTTACATTCACCTTCTGGGTGGTAGGATTACAGCTTGACTTATTTTTGCAACTTTAATTATTGGGCCTAGTTTTCATTGTGTGAAATAAAATGCAAATTTTTCTTGGCATATTTATCCAATTCAATCAAATAAAACTTAATTATGCAGACAAAAGATATTGTAAATTTTTTTACATTCATTCAGACTAGCCTTCCCTCAAACTAGGAATTACCCTGCCTTAGCCTCCCAAGAGCTGGTTTTAAAGGTGTGTTTTACTATATTCATTCTCCTTCTTGGAAAAAAAAAGTTAGTGTGTGTGTGTGTGTGTGTGTGTGTGTGTGTGTGTGTGTGTGTGTGTGTGTGTGTGTGCCAGACACAATCGGGCTTGGCAGTAAGCATCTTTACCTGCCCCCATTCCTTTTCTTTATTTATACACTAACACCTCCGTTTTCAACTTTTGGGGTTTTGTTTTGTTTGAGACAGGGTTTCATTATGTTACCTTGAGTGGCCTGGAACTTGCTATGTTGATCAGGCTGGCCTCAGACACAGAGAGATCCACCTTCCTCTACTGTCAGAATTCTGGGATTAAAGGTGTGCACTGCCATGCCTGGCTCTTTTCAACTTTGGGGATCTTTTTGTTTGATTAGTTTGGGTTTGGCTTTTTATATTAAAAAATTGTTTATGTTGGCTGGAGAGATGACTCAGAGGTTAAGAGCACTGGCTCCTCTTCCAGAGGTCCTGAGTTCAATTCCCAGCAACCACATGGTGGCTCACAACCATCCATAATGAGATCTGATGCCCTCTTCTGGGGTGTAAGCATACATGCAAGCAGAACACTGTATACATAGTAAATAAATCTTAAAAACAAAACAAAACAAAACAAAAAAATTCCTTAGTTTAAAAAATTGTTTATGTGTATGGATGTTTTGCCTGTATGTTTGTCTGTGGACCACTTGCATGCTTGGTGCTTATGGAGGCCAGGAGAGGGCATCAGAGCCCTTAAAGCTGGAGTTACAGCCAGGTGTTGGTGGTATACACCTTTAGTCCCAGAAGTCAGGGAGGCAGAGGCAGACGATCTCTGTGAGTTCAAGGTCAGCCTGGTCTGCAGAACGAGTAATACAGTAAAACCCTGTCTCAAAACCACCCCCCCAAAAAAACCCAAACCAAACAAACAAAACAAACAAACAAAAACTGGAGTTACAGATGGTTGTAGATCACAGATGCTAGAAAATCAAACTCAGGTCCTCTGCAAGAGAAGTCAGTGCTCTTAACTGCTGAGCTATCTCTCCAGCATGCTCTTGCTAACTTCCAAACATACTAGTGTTTCTTTCACTTTTGTTGAAATGGAATATGAAGTTTGCAAGTCAAAAATTATCACCAGGGAGATGTGATCCAAGAGCACACAGTTTCAGTTAGATAGGTAAGTTACATTTTCAAGATCTATTGCACAGCATGGTGGCCATAGTGAATAGTGGCACCTATTCCAAATGTTTGAAAAGAGTAGCTTTTACATGTTCTCACTGCAAATAAATGGTGTGTGAGGTGATAGAGATGTTAACTAGCTTGATATCACCATTCAACAGTATGTACATATACAAAAATATATACTGCATTCCATCAATGTATAAGGTCATTGTCAGTAAATAAGAAACACAATTATCACCCAGCTCCCTTCAGTCAGAATAAACAATATGAATCATCACACAGTTTATCATTGGCTTTAGTGATGAATAACAAATACCTTTTGTTGAAACTACTTTTTTGGACACCAGTGTAATCAGTACAGTATAAGAATATTCATCCTAGTGGATGAATATTAAACACATGTTTAATCCCAGTACTTGGGAGGCAGAGGCAGGTGAATATCTGAGTTTGAGGCCAGCCTGGTCTACGGAGATACTTCCGGGACAGCCAGGGCTACACACAGAAAACCTGTCTTAAAAAACTAAAACAAAAAAAGAATGTTTGGGAGAAAACTTTTAGAAGCAGTCCTGTGGGCTTCTCATGCTTTAATCCCAGCACTCTGAGGGCTGGGGTAGGCAGATCCTGTGAGTACAAAGCAGCCTGGTCTAGATAGCATGCTTCAGGCTACAATGGTACAACCTGGTCACAAGAGTGGGGAAAGTCACTCTTTCATCCTCTTTGAGCTGTGCTGATCCCCACTCCCAACTCTGCTAAAGCATATCAGCTCCTCATTCCTTCTGTCTCATCAGACTCTAACATGGTCAAACCAATCCAGCAGCACTACAAGCACCCATCTCGTGCATCTTAATGATCTTCAGAGTTTACTGTGTCATCAGTTGCAACTTATGTGCACAAATAATAGATTCTGGCAACCCCAAGGACCAAATACCCTGATGTATCAGGCAGTGGTCAGCTCTGTATCTTATTGCCCTCTAAAGTTTTCTCACATAATTTCTTCTTTAAAAAATGGTTTTGCCAGGCGTTACAGCAGACACCTTTAACTTAGGAGGCAGAGGCAGATGGATCTCTGTGAGTCTACATAGTAAAACCCTGTCTGAAAAAAAGTGGGAGGTGGGGTAAAACACATTTCCATTGAGAGGCAGGTAAACTCACCAAGGATGATTTTTCTTTGGAGTGCAGGGGTGATGTAGAGTTAATGGCCCCAATCATTATTTTAATAGGAGCACAATGCTGCAATGAACTGAAATAAAAATGCCCCTTCCCCTAAAAAACTACTTTTTTAAAAATAGGGTTTCATGTAGTAGAGGCTGGCTTTAGACTCACTATGTAGCAGAAGATGGCCTTGAATTTCTGATCCTCCTGCCTCCACCTCCCAAGTGCTGAGGTTACTCATGTAGGCCACCAGGGCTTTATTTTTAATGTGGTGCTGATGCTTGCTTGACTTTGTGCATGCCAGGCAAGTATTCTACCAAGTGAGCCACATGCCCAGCTCCATTTTTCTAAAGCTCTACACTGTGAACATGGTTTTGTCAAATACTTAATCTTTTGAATAATATTGAAGTTCTAGTCCCAAATTAAGTGACGCAGAGAAAAGGGCCTGTTTTTCTCTTCTTTCCCTAGGACAACACTGAAAACATACCCTGGACCTTGACTGTATGTTTTCCCCAAAGATAATGAGCAAAGCAGAGAGGAGATGTCACCAACAACGTGGCTGAGAGGGAAATGAGAGGCAGGATTGGTCTTGGCATCTTTCAATTCTCCACACAGCATTGGTTCACACCATATTAAATACATTTTTTTAAAATTCACGTGCCAAAATTTAAAGCTGGAAAATTCCAGGGCTAGGATGATAACTCAATGGTTAAACTGCTTGTACCCAATCGTGGGGACCAGAGTTTGAATGCCCAGAACTCAAGTCAAATGCTAGGTAGACGAGGTGACCCACTTGTAATTAATTGCAGCCTAGGAAGCAGAGACAGGAGATCGCCAGAGCAAGACTAGCGTCAGTAGCAAGCTCTAGTCTTGACTGGGAGACCAATCAATAGGGAGGAACGCAGACTGAGCATGACTCCTGATACCCATCTCAGACTTCCACATGTACATGTGCTTCCATGAGTATGCAAAAACCATGTGCACTGCACACACATGAAAATGGGAAACGGAGCAAAATTAAAGCTGGACAATTTCATGCCAACATCCATATTTTCAACCTGTCTTTCATCAGTGAGACTCCTCTGGCCATGATGGGTGCATAATCTCTTTGGACAGCAGGCTGCTAAGTGAAAAAGCTGCCCCCTTGAAGTAGGATCCACTTGCTCTTCATTATCACTGTTTCCTTCAAACTCTGCCAGTCTCGATAATTTTCATTAGCCCCCTGGCCTGTACATAGAACCACATTGTGATTCCTGGGACCAAAGAGATTAGAGGACCAGCATTGGCTCTAGCACTTACTAAGTTGCAAAATCCTTAGTGTGTGCTTAGCATCATATCTATATAAACTGTACAACAGGGAAAGGCAAGGCAGAGAAGTGTTCTACCACACAATATGGTTGAGAGGATGAACTCTGAAGGAAAAGAACCTTGGTTTGAACCCATTGGCTATCTGTCATTGAGACCCAGTAGGCAAGGAGTTAGATATGAGGTAAGCATGGAAACAGCAGCTCTGTTTTGGGAGATGTGTCTCTTGGTTAGGAAGGGAGGTAAGACATGAGGAAACCAATGAAACTGTAACTGGACATTGGGAGCTTAGCCTCCTATGATTCCCAATGCCCCACTGTAGTTAAACATTCCCGAAGCTGCAGTCAGGTTTGTCTCCATGTATCAGAAACCCAGGCCACAGGAAACAAAGGGACTGCCTTCCACCCTGCTTGCTTGCTTGCAAAGCCCGATGAACTTCCTCGGTTGCCAAACATGCTCACTAGCAAGAATCTGCTTCCTGGCAAGTTCCAGGCTTCATATAGTATTCATTGCATTGGTAGTTTTTATAAGATTTATTTTTATAAGATTTATTTTTATTTTATGTGTATGAGTAAATTTTTTGTTTTTTTCAAGACAGGGTTTCTCTGTATTGATTTGGAGGTTGTCCAGGAACTCCCTCTGTAGACCAGGCTGGCCTCGAACTCACAAAGATCCACCTGCCTCTGCCTCTGCCTCCCAAGTGCTGGGATTAAAGGCATGAGCCACCACCGCCCAGCCCGTGTCTGAGTATTTTGCCTGCATGTATGTATGTGTACCACATGTGTATCCATGGAGGTCAGAAGAGGGTGTCAGATCCCCTATAACTAAAGTTATGGGTG